TGTAATATTAGGCATTTGATCTGAAAAAGGCACATAATGGTAAAAAATTCATTGTAACTTTCGAGATGCAGTGCTTACATCCATATGTAAACAAAAGGAAACATTTAACTGTTGATTGGGATTTGTTTTTGAAAGTTAGGCATATGATGGTCAGTTTGAATATTTTAGCAGTACCATGTTTTAGATCTACAACTGTGTTCTCAAGATGAGTGAGTGAGTGAGTATGGTTTTACACTGATTTTAGCAATATTCCAGCAATATGATGGCGGGGGACACCAGAAATGGGTTTCACACATTGTACCCATGTGGGGCATCGAACCCGGGTCTTTGGTGTGACGAGCCAACGCTTTAACCACTAGGCTACCCCACCGTCCCTGTTCTCAAGATGAAGCCAGCAACACGCATTTATTGCTGGGGATACATTGGTCTTTGAAGGGCATGAAAATGGCAATACATAAAATCCAAATCTTAAATTTCTTGTTGATTGTGTCAATAATGATATGTTTCATTTGCAACATCATACAGTGTGGAAACAAGTCATTTAACAGCAAGAACAGTGAAAGGAAACAATTATGGTAATTTATTTTACACAGAAAATAAATTTATATAACCTGGATTAAATTTGATTATTATGCAGCAACATTTGTACATGACGTAGTAACATCTGCGTCCTATTACAGATGCCTAGGTACACAATGACACAATAAATGATGATTTTTTGTGAGATATGTTTCAGTCCTTTCAGAACGAAACACAATGGTTAAAACATGTTTATTATTTTGCTGAATGCTGTCATGTGACTAGCTTGCTGTGAAATGTATCATAGTTCTGTTGTTTCACCAGGGCCATCTTGCCCAAAGTGATCTTAGTGCTAAGACTGTCTTAAGTCTGTGTTAGAGTAAAGCACTTACAATCATAGTGCTAAGATTGCACTTGACTTTAAAATGTTAAAGTGACATAAAATGCAATTCAGGACAAATATATAATTAGACTACTCACCACTCCCACCCCAGTTGATATTTCATGTATCAATAACATATGCTTTCTTGTAAAAATATATTTTTAGTCTTTACAGTTGCAGCATTGAGTGCCTCTGGATGTCTCGAAGTAAAAGCTTGGGCCCTGTTTTTGTTATTGAGTCCTCACTTTGCAGTTGTGTCAAGCTAACTGAAAGTAATTACATAGGTTGCTGCAGCAATCAGCTGTTTGATTGTATTTGCTTCTTTAAGATGTATTTAACCTTTAGATGTGATGTTATTGATCTCAAGATCATGATGTGCCATGTTTATCCGTATCTATACAGTCTATTGAAACATTTTAGGTTCATTAAATATCTTTTTCCTTTTTTCCCATTAAATATCTTCTTTTTTTGTAGTGGAATCTAAGTGCAGTGAAAATAACTAAAATGCTCACTGTCTTGTTATGCTACTGTTTATCTTCTATATTTCATGCACAACGGCAACCTTGGTCTTGACAACTTATTCAGTCTTGACAACGTATTTAATCTTTAGTCTTGACGAATTATTAAGTCATGACTGGGCAAACAAGTGATCTACAGCATGTATAATGATCCATACCTTCAGAGTTTTGAAGACATGCAATCAGTCAGTCACAGTCAGGACACGTGGTCCTGGTTTGCCTCTCACAACAAGCTCCATGTGCTGGGTGCTACTAATACCCTAGAATCCACGCAGGGGAAACAATACATGTATGGAGTTAAATGCCCTCATCTGCACGCCACCCTTGTAATACTGTGCTTCTATAGCCCAGCGTAAATTGATCATGACACTTTGGTAAAACTGTTCCAGAGAGATTGATCAACCATTTCTTGTATGAGTAAACTGTGTAACACAAAAGTGTTTATTCTGTCAAATGTTGTTATTCTTTTGTTTTAATCAAAATATACAAATTTTGTAAGGAAATATATATTAATTCAGACCTGGATTGTGGAAAATTTCCCAAGAAATCAGGTATTTCATTTATCATAGGCAATTATCCACCATTCGACCATAGAGAATATCGACCGAACAGAACACAAAAACACATACAACTTGACATTTTCACAGCCTCCATGTGAATGCTCACTGTATTGATTACTTTGCTAATCATTTACCATGATCTACAAGTATCCATATTTTGGACAGTTTGTCAATAATGCCACAGCAGATAATTTATTTCCTGATTAAATAAAAATATGTGTCACTTAATAAAAAAAGGCTGAAAATATGTTATAATACTGCCCCCAATGTTCTCCTTAAGCTGGATGTATTTACGGGGGACTAAGGGAAGGTTATATCATTAAGAAATATGACATTGCATTATAATGCATATTTGGTGATTGTGGGCGCTTCAAGTAGAGAAGGACATGCTTGTCGTTTTTGGTTTGTTTGTTTTGTTTACGTCACACTCTGCAATATTGTAACTATGCGGTGGGGGATTCTGAATAATCAATTCTGGACCAGACAGTCCGATGATCAACAGCATGAGCATCAATTGACGCGATTTGGATATGATGACATGTCAGTCAAGTCAGTGACTCTGACCACCCAATTCCGTTAGTTGCTTCATATGACATGACATGTTGATAAATGCATTTTGCTGATTTTTCTCAAATATGATTAAACCTCAGACTTCAGTTTGCTGCAAGAGATCTCTACCTGGGGGCTAACCTCGACATCTTCCTCCTGTTGTCATGTAAATACACACTTAATATACACCAATCATGTTTTGTTCTCAGCTATGATAATGTATGAGTGAGTGAGCAAGTTGCCGCTTTTAGCAATATTCCAGCAATACCATGACGAGGGACACCAGATATGGGCTTCACACATTGTATCTGTGTAGGGAATTGAATTCTGCTCTTCGTCGTGACAAGCAGACACTTTAATCAGTAGGCTACCCCACTGCCTCAGTATTGTATTATATGTATTTGAGATTACACTTTCTCTAAGAGTACAGATTCTAGTACTTTTGGGGGTTTAGGCCCGTGTGGGATTCGAACCTACACTCACAGGGTGCGCACTTTGTTTACCACTCCGACAAGTGGAAATTGGCACTACTCCCATTGCCGAAGCTATGTATACACAATGCTGTTAGAAGTGGTCAAATGTAACATATGTTATGTTTGATATTGATCTTTCTCAATGAAGTAGGGTATTCAAAGCAACTGCGATGTTGGTCCGTATTGTCTCATGTCATCACCTACTCTCATCAAGACTGTTATTAGTTCTATGTGTGTTATCATAAATTATTCACGGTGTGGTGGGAACAGGTTATTGATCAGCTGAACATCAATGATGCATGCACTGAGTTCGTATATTGTGTAGACTTTATTGTGTGAAGATATAGAGAGTCACATTACAGGTACAGACTGTCTATAGAGAACATCATAGTTGAACCAGAATTATGTATTCTACTCAAAAGAAGTGAAGGACCACCTGATTCTTTCATATTAATGTTATATGCAAGAATCAGGTGGTCCTTACCTTCTGTTGAGTAGTATGTTACAATAAGCTTACCCTTTGAAACTATCTAAATGTATTCATAGTTTGCAACACCAGAGTGCTGATATAAATTAATCCTTAGAGCTCAGAGGGCACTGGTCCAGGGGTGGTTGTCTGAACAATCCTAGGTTACAGAAAGCAGCTGAGACCATGTGTTACGAGTATTTGTTTTGACTTCACAAAAAGGTAAATGCTTCGTCCAATTTTGGATTTATTGGATGTCATGTCCAATTTATTTTGAGTGATAATGTGCTTGTTAGTTTTTTCAGTGCTTTTTTAATTTGTCAGAGGGTCGCCTAGGGGTTAACAAACTGCTGACTCATCAAAACTGTCTGTAACTGATAGTGAGTGAGTGAATGAGTTTAGTTTTATGCCAGAGCAGAAATATTCCAGCTGTATGGCAGCGGTCTGTAAATAATTGAGTCTGGACCAGACAATCCAGTGATCAACAGCATGAGCATCGACCAAGCAATTGGGATATGATGACATGTGTCAACTAAGTCATCAAGCCTGACCACCCGATCCTGTTAGTTGCGACAAGCATGGGTTACTGAAGATCAATTCTTACCTGGATCTTCACGGGTTCTGTAACTGATAACATAACATAGGTAATGAGTGGAAGTATCAATAGCTGATATCAGTACATCACTACTCTATTGCTAGCATCAATACATGTACAAAATAGCAAATGTACTGCTAAATATTTACTTTTCAAATCCTTTTGAGACAAAGTCCACAAAATAACAGTCTTAACAGATATCACACTTTGCTCAAAGTTTTTTGCTGACAATAGCATGTGGTGGCAGTGTGTTTTATGGACGTCATGATACATAAGTTTCATGATACATATACCCATGTTTCATGAATCGTATCATGATACCTATTTTCTTGGCATTATTAAGTAAATTTAGTTACATTTTGAACATTTTTATTTCATATTTTATAATGTCCATGAAAAGATCAACATGTTTTATTCTCAGAGATTAAAAAGTTCTAATTTCCCATCTTTGTGCATGAAAAATAGTCATTTATAACTTTCACAACATCAAAAAACAAGATACAATTGCAAAATGTAAATGATACATAAACATATTTAAACCGATACTTTCAAAACTAAATATGGATACAGTTTTGAATGTATCGATAATTGTATCATCTTAGAAAAGGTATCGATGTATCGCTGTATCGATGTATTGTGGCATCCCTAGTGTGTTTGTTGTACCAGGCTACGATCAGCAATGATCCAGTCACAAGATGGCAGCCTGTAGCCAGTGACTGATATATGAGTAACGACCTCCACATTCAGGTGACATGTAAGTCACCAAACCTGATGACTCAAATAATTAAATGTCCTCTAACAAGCAGCAGAGAATGGAACAGATGAAAAATATTCAATTTGCCCTGATGGAACAACTGAAGTTCATAACAAAGTGTTGAATGATGATTGTACCAACAACACAGATGTATGTTGGGGACTATCTGTAAATTCATCAATAGTCGACACTGTTTTCCAGAGACCTTCATCCAGAATGACACAGCAAGAGATCCACAACTATAAGTGCACTCTTAGTCCAGAGCTCCTGGAGAAGGCCAAGAAGGAGCTGACTGAAGACCACGACACCCTCAAACAGGAAATACAGACAATCCGAGAAAGGATTCTGCGATGCCCAGGTCAGTGTTTGAGTGAGCAAGTAGAGTTTAACAGCCTTTTATCAATGTTCCAGAGGTATGTCCCTGTATAAAGTTATCAACCATTATTATTATTATTATTATTATTATTATTATTATTACATGATATTTATATAGCGCACATATCCAGGCAACTAGTACATGCTCAAGGCGCTGTTATTTCCCTCGATCACTCGATGTCAATCTCAACGGCACATCATATTATCAATCTCAACTCCCCAGGGAGCATACAACACCATGAGCTTAATATTCTGCTAACTGCAAACATCAATATGGGATTTAGACCCAGACCTGGAAATCATGACGTTTTGATAAACATCTGTTCAGAGTACTAATATTTATGCATTTGATAAGACAACAAAGGTAAGACAAACAAATAGCTATAAAATACAAGTATCTACATGGTACAACAATAGTCACCAGATCACAAGAGCCATGGCTCTGTAGCATACCCGCTCAATAATGTTAATTTTGAAAAGGAACTAATTTTATGCATTGTCTACTTCTTTATTGCACTCGATCTGACGTTTCAGTGTAGATGCTAACACCATTATGAAGTACGTGACTTTGTCAATAATGGATGCTTCCAGGTTTGAAGCCCCGCGTGGATGATCGGTTTCTTATCAAGTTTCTACGTGCACGCAAGTTTGACCAGGAGAGGACATATTCTCTTATTATCAATTACTACACGATGAAGAAAGAAAATGAGGACATCTATACCAATATGACCCCAAAGTGTATTAAACCACTCCTGGATACTCAGTTAGTGACTGTGTTACCTAAACCAAGCAAGCTTGGGGAAACGGTCATTGTCTTCAGGCCAGGTAATTCCAGTTGTATTACAGTTTATTAACACTAGATTGTCGCAATAGGGCCTGTAAGTCTCGCAAGGTCCTACTTCCGGTACTAAGCTGATTCCCGGCTCCCTTTACACATGCAAACTTGCGATATGTGAGATGGGGCCCAGCTTACTTCCGGTACAAGATTTCCGGTGACAAGCGTTTATTCAAGAACAAGTTCTGGTTCCAAATTGCACGACCGCCATATGACTTTACTAGACCAGACCAAGTGTACGTTGTTTGTCACCGGTCTTGCGGAGCGCCGTGACCTACTTATAGGCTCTATTTGCAGGGTCTGCTACCAAAGCAAAACTTAAGTTGTAATATTGGTAACATTGTTTCTCAAATACTGCTCAAGGGATGTATTTGTACAAATTGAAAAAAGATATTATTCTGATTTTTTATGGTAGAATAAGGGCCATTCCTGGCCAAATATGACGTAGTGGATAATTAATCTGCCTTTTATATTATTACACCTATGAGTTTGGGACTTCTCCAAGACGCCCATATTCAAATATTAGCTGTATATTTTGTGTTCTAAGCCCAAAATATGCAATTAATTATTTGAGCTCTCTTTCCTGTGAAGCCATTTGACACTTGCATAACGACTTCTCAGTGTTTGGGCAATCTCCTAGATTATGCTTGTGACATGGGCCAAAATGGTCCATTGTCATCACTTGTCCTGGAGGGTTTTTTTCAGACAAATTTATTAGTTTTAGAATTGAGAAGTTTCCATGCCTTACTGCTCATCAGCATACTTCTGCAATAAAATCTGATATTGCTGGAATATTGCAAAAAGCGGCATAAAACCATATTATGCGATAACCCTGCAGGTCAGTGTGAGAAGTAACACAGGTACTTTGTCTTACTTCCAGGGCGATGGGATCCTGAGAAATATCCTATGGAAGACATTTACAGAGCATCCTTCCTCATCAACAGTGCTGTAGTAGAGGTATGATGTTGACATTTCTGACAGGACTTAAGTTCTAACTGTAGCATTGAACTAAGTGGCTGCAATCATTACCTCACAGTAGATACCAACCTAACTTCATATTAATTAAGTTGAAAAAATGGAGAAAAAAAAACACACCTGAAAAACAATTTAAAATATTTTTTTTTATTTCCAGTGAAAAATGAGAACTGTGTCTAGATCTGTCTCTGTATTTGTGTATGAGAGTGTAATTAGTGTACATAGATCACATGGCTTGTTTGGAGTTTCACCCTTCTTGGTTTTCAAGATGTGAATGTATCAATCGTTTCATTAATATTGCTGGGAGCAACAAATGAGTTGGGTGACATTTTCAACATTTTTTCTTATTTAGAGTCAGTGGAATAAAACAAAGAAACACTGCTTGTCATTTTATAAAATTATTTTCTAACATTCCATATTTTGGAGTGGGAAGACTGATAAACCAAGATTTTGAAAGGGTCTTGTATTGTCAGATATGAATTGCCAAGTAGTTTATGAAGAATTCCCTGGGAGAGAGTTCAGTGGTTTAATGCATTAGGGTAGTCATTTGTAAGTAGGCCATAATATTTTGTAATCAGAACTAGTGGTGGTCCAATCAATTGGAATAATCGAAGATTGGTCGCAGTGACACGTGACAGCAATCGAACATGTTTCTCATAATCGAACACAACACTTGGAACACTTGTTTGCATCAACAATATTTTTCACAAGGTTGCTTTTGTCTGTGTCATTAAATTTACATTTCATAAACACAACAAGCTCGTTCCAAGTCATGATTGAATTTATCTTAAAGAATCCAGAAAATCTGTGTTCCTAACATACAAATCATCCTTTAAAAACCCAAAGTACTACATGTTTTGTCTTTATTTTTTACAAAGACAACAGGAACATTTGATAAATGATGTTAACCAATTATTTTCGATGATTGATCAGTTGTAATGGACCAGTCATCAATTAGGGGATAACTGTACTGTGTTTGATGAATTAGGGACGTATACCAGTGGTTATATAGCCGCAAATTTAGGTTATCTGCGACACGTAAGCGGAGCCGATATAACGTTAAATTTGTGGCTATATAACCACCGGTATACGTCCCCAATTCATCAAACACAGTACAGTTATCCCCATTCTAATTCAACTCGTTTTACGCTGTTTTTTCGTGAAAGAAATTTATTATTTAAAATAAGTCAAAGTGTTTCAAGGTCAAAGGTAAATCATATCACTCCTTGAATTTACACCATAGCCAGAAAACAAGTTCCTTTTCAAACTTCAACATGTTTATTATGTGCACATTGACTAAATCTGACAATGATGAATAAATTATAGTGTTATAGCTAAAATGGATGGAATTGTCATGAAACTGCCCTCTAGTTGTCAGAAATGAGCGGGTCGCTGCAAATGATAATGGCACGGTGATTCCTCAACTAAGGGCCACTATCTGTTCTGTCATAAATTTTGTTTCATGATCTACCAGTGTTGGGTCAACAGCCTGTTGCGTGCAAGTTGTTTGAACTTACAATTAATTTATTATATTGTTTTTTTTTTTTTCAACACAAATTCCATTCATTTTAGCGGGATAGGGGAGTTAAACTGGTGTTACTAACAACATCAAGGAACAATACCTACAGCTACTAACACCATGTCTGTTTCAAGGCCCGTCTCTGTTTAGTCACTTCTATGAAAAGCAACATATTATTACATTACATGTAGAAGTATTCAATTTAGTTCATCTTATAATATTTTTACCTAAAAACATTTGTCTACAATAGTTACTAGTATATATTTGAATGTTCATTTACACAGGTAAATATATCTATCAAAACCAATGAAGGGATTTAGCTAGAATATTGCTGACTGAAAAACAATACTCCCTCACTCACTCATAGTTGTTATCTCATTTCCATTTTCGGTCAGTCGGAGGAAGCACAGGTGAATGGTGTACGTTACATCAATGACCTCTCAGACTTTGGATGGGTACATGCTAAAAATTTCACTCCAACGTTCGCCAAAAAGTTCTCCACCATGATCCAGGTAAGCGATCTGGATGCAGTATCCACACTCAACTGTATTCTAACCTCTCAGTTCCAATACCTGCAGCCAAACATGTCATTCCAACCTTCTCCACAGTGGTAAAAATGGTATTTTTGACATGGGAAAGTATTCTTTAAATAATTTCCCTGAGTTTTCATGGTCATTTCAGTCTACATCATCTGCCTCTTAAGCAAATGTCAAAGCTAAAATATCTAAGCAAAAGAAATTACCTTAAAACTAAACAGAAATGTGGCATATTTGGTTCAATAACCTGATCGCCTCATCTTGTGACTCTACTCCTGACTAGTTTATGTCATGTAAGAAGTGTCACCAGTTACAGAAATCTTTGTTGAAATGCCTCCTCGTTCCAGGACGCCTTCCCGATGCGAGTGAAGGGTATCCATTACCTGCATCAACCCAGCGTGTTTGAATATGTCTTTTCTATGATCAAGCCATTCTTGAAGGAAAAGCTGAGAAAACGGGTAAGTTTATATAGTTGGATAGAGTATTTCTGTTGCTGACCATATCAGGTAAACTGACCTCTAATACGGTAGTTTACCACAGTAGAAGGGAGTGAGTTTATATAGTTGGATAGAGTATTTCTGTTGCTGACCATATCAGGTAAACTGACCTCTAATACGGTAGTTTACCACAGTAGAAGGGAGTGAGTTTATATAGTTGGATAGAGTATTTCTGTTGCTGACCATATCAGGTAAACTGACCTCTAATACGGTAGTTTACCACAGTAGAAGGGAGTGAGTTTATATAGTTGGATAGAGTATTTCTGTTGCTGACCATATCAGGTAAACTGACCTCTAATACGGTAGTTTACCACAGTAGAAGGGAGTGAGTTTATATAGTTGGATAGAGTATTTCTGTTGCTGACCATATCAGGTAAACTGACCTCTAATACGGTAGTTTACCACAGTAGAAGGGAGTGAGTTTATATAGTTGGATAGAGTATTTCTGTTGCTGACCATATCAGGTAAACTGACCTCTAATACGGTAGTTTACCACAGTAGAAGGAGTGAGTTTATATAGTTGGATAGAGTATTTCTGTTGCTGACCATATCAGGTAAACTGACCTCTAATACGGTAGTTTACCACAGTAGAAGGAGTGAGTTTATATAGTTGGATAGAGTATTTCTGTTGCTGACCATATCAGGTAAACTGACCTCTAATACGGTAGTTTACCACAGTAGAAGGAGTGAGTTTATATAGTTGGATAGAGTATTTCTGTTGCTGACCATATCAGGTAAACTGACCTCTAATACTGTAGTTTACCACAGTAGAAGGGAGTGAGTTTATATAGTTGGATAGAGTATTTCTGTTGCTGACCATATCAGGTAAACTGACCTCTAATACGGTAGTTTACCACAGTAGAAGGGAGTGAGTTTATATAGTTGGATAGAGTATTTCTGTTGCTGACCATATCAGGTAAACTGACCTCTAATACGGTAGTTTACCACAGTAGAAGGGAGTAAGTTTATATAGTTGGATAGAGTATTTCTGTTGCTGACCATATCAGGTAAACTGACCTCTAATCACGGTAGTTTACCACAGTAGAAGGGAGTGAGTTTATATAGTTGGATAGAGTATTTCTGTTGCTGACCATATCAGGTAAACTGACCTCTAATACGGTAGTTTACCACAGTAGAAGGGAGTGAGTTTATATAGTTGGATAGAGTATTTCTGTTGCTGACCATATCAGGTAAACTGACCTCTAATACGGTAGTTTACCACAGTAGAAGGGAGTGAGTTTATATAGTTGGATAGAGTATTTCTGTTGCTGAAATGACCATATCAGGTAAACTGACCTCTAATACGGTAGTTTACCACAGTAGAAGGGAGTGAGTTTAGTTTTACGCCACACTCAGCAATATTTCAGCTGAATGGCGGTGGTCTGTAAATAATCGGGTCTGGACCAGACAATCCAGTGATCACCAGCATGCGCACCGATCTACGCAAATGAGATACAATGACATGTGTCAACCACGTCATCAAGCCTGACCACCCGATCCAATTAGTCGCCTCTTATGACAAGCATGTTACTAAATAGCAATTCTAACCCAGACCTTCACCTGCCTATTACGACAAGCATGGATTACTGAAGACCAATTCTAACCCAGATCTTCACAGGTCCATATCAGGTAAAAAGACCTTCAAGGTAGTTTACCACAGGACATTACAATCAGGTGGGATTATCGATAGAAAGCTAAAGGCATGCAAGGAAAACCTCTGATACCTGTGTACACGATTGATAGATCATAGTTGATATCTGTGATATAGTTATGCTTGGTAGACATATTTTAATAATTTCAAATGATTCATCTTTATATGCAGTTTCTTAAGAAAATATTTACAACTGCATTTTTTCTTTCAGCTACATTTTCTTGGAGACAAAGTTGAAGGTCTGCATGAGTATATTGACCCTGAGAACTTACCAGAAGAGTATGCAGGAAAACTTCCATCGCTAGATTCACCGGTATGATTGCCAGGATACTCACTTCACAAACATTTCACTTCCTTATACTGACAGGGTCCTGTTGTACAAACCAATCGTAGTGCTAAGAAAATCGTAACATAGACATAATAGAAGGCGTAGCACTAAGGTTTTGTTCTACAGCCTCATGAGCTACAAAGGGTCAAAGGTAAGAGTAGTTGTCCAGGAACCTATTGAGGCTGAAAGATGCACCTTGTTCTCATGCTCCTTATCAAGTTCATAGAAGAAAGCTTGCGGAATCACATTCCATTCCTCCACTAGAGCTCCGCGGATCCTTGAGATCCTCTGGTGCTGAGTGACAGGTGTATACACGTCGACCGAGTTCATCCCAGGCATAGTTCAATTGGGTTGAGGTCTGGTGAGCATGCTGGCCACTCTATCCGCTCTACACCCTGCTGCCTAAGGAATTACGTGACAATCCTGGCCCTATGAGGCATAGCATTGTCGTCTTGCAGTAAAGAGGGTCGACCATAAAGGCCATACATAGCTTGCAGGAATGGTACTGCTATAAGAGCCAGAATCTTGTCCCAATAATGCTGTCCAGTAAGATTACCTTCGACCACGTGCAGCAGAGTACGTCCAGTAGGAGTTATCCCTGCCCAAACAATGAAATCTCTGCCACAGTCTACCAATAGCACTCTGACTCACATTAAAGCGGACAGAAACCTGCCGCTGAGTTTGACCAGATTCCAAAAGGCTATAGCCTGACCCCTTTCAGCAAGTGTAAAAAAAGAGAGTCTCATTTTGAGCTGCAATTTCAAACAATAAGTGGCAGGTGGATTTCCATATTGACAATTTGAATAATAAATGTGAAATTTGTAACAGAATGTATCGTACGTTAAAGAACGTAATAATGACATTTCAATGGCCTGATGTGTTTTTCCATACTGTTAAGAAAGTTTGTAAAACATTCAGTTGTATATATTTCAAACAAAAACAAAGATTTTACAACTTTAAAGAAATAGTTTTACCAATAGCTTGACCCTTCATTAATGACAGAGTATATATTGCATATATATATTTGTTTATGACAGAATGTTGATATGGCATGGTAGTGAAATTGAAGGTATGACAACCTCAAACTACAAGGCAAAATCCAAAATCATGTAAGTGCTGAGACATGTCAAAAATTGTATTCATTTTGTTGCTGTTATTTTGTTACAGGAGTTTATTGACAGACTGGTAGCACGTGATCAGGAATTTGAAGATGATGCCAAGTTTGGTTTTGTTTCCATGACGATACAACACCAAAGCAAGAAAAGTCAAGATGCAATGGAGAACTTACCCGGAACCTTCAAGAAACTGAATGTAGATTAACACTGGGATAATGTAGGATGGTAATAAGTACTTATTGTTCTCAAATGGCTACTTCTGAAATATGAAACAAATGGTTTTCATGTAGATTTCTGCTACCTGGGGGTCCAAATTATGCTATCTGGGGCTAACAGTAGAAAAGAACAAAGGCACTTTCTGATGCTAGAGAACCTGAGAAGTTGGTACTTTGTAACCTAATAATGGCTAACTTGTATATAACAGTCAACTAACATCATGGTCTCCATATGTATATCTCCATAGTTATGTGCCTTATCTCCGTCAGGATCCGTGGATCATAGTTTCTTGGATTTCTCCCGACATGATGTTTGGTCTGACCTCACCAGTATGTGAGTTTCAGTATCCATGGATGAGAGGATTACATCCAGGTTTCATCCAAGTTGACATACTGTGATGAAGACGAACAAATTCGATGGATAGACAACTTCTTGCACTAGATGCAACATAGATGCTAACACTGTTATTAAGCAACTGAAATACTCCACTAAAACCCAGCACACTTCCCCGTATGCATTGTTGAGATTATGTATATCAAAGTGACCAAACTTATGTCCAAAGTTGACAATCCTGTCAATGCAGCACTTGATCAAACATCATTGGATATTTTACTTGGATCGTAAATTTTTTTTAAATGAATACATATGATCTTATTTTTATTACATGAACAGGAAACAGTATCCATGATAAAAGGTTTATTTAAAACAAGCTAATATAACTGCTCTGATGCAGGATATAGAGAATCTGTCAGGAAGACGTGATGGGACATCCTATGGTCATGTGCAGGAGGCAATATCAAAGTCATCTATGGAGAGCAGTATTTGTGTTAGTAGCTTCTGTCATGCTGTGTTTTCAGACGTTTGTGGGCAGACCAGATTGTATCTGCTTGAACACATTTTCTGGGACCAGATTGTATCTGCTTGAACACATTTTCTGGGACCAGATTGTATCTGCTTGAACACATTTACTGGGACCAAATTGTTTCTGCTTGAACACATTTTCTGGGACCAGATTGTATCTGCTTGAACACCTTTACTGGGACCAAATTGTTTCTGCTTGAACACATTTTCTGGGACCAGATTGTATGGGTCATTCTCAAAATTTGCCCAACTTTTGGTCAGTAACACATTGCTCTGAAAATATTGTTTCAATTTTTTTTCAAAAATCATATTATGAAAGAAAAATGTATTTTGTTCCTCATAATGATGTAAAATAGTGTACCTGTTTGTTATTTTTGGGACAAAATTGGGTTTTATCATCATTTTGAAAGAAAACCACTGTCAGTGGACAGCGACATTACTTTGCAGTACCATAAAGTTTAAATTCCAGGGTATTTATACATATTTTTAAAGATTTATAATGAAAAATCAATATTAAAAACACATTCCTGCATGAAATATTGAAAACAAAATGAAAATCACATATTTACAATGAAAACAATGACTGTCCAAAATGTCACAGTCAGTGGTGTAACGAATATAAACATGTGACATTAATAATTATCTCGTTTGAGTAAAAATATGAAACACTAAATGGTCCCTTTGCTGATGACTTTCTTCTTGTGGCAGAAGTTTTGTGGAGGCCAAATTTTATTTTGATGTTGAAGTTTGATTCAGTTGGTGAGTCTACTTCATATCATAACTTTTTATCGCGTCAGTGGTGTAGCGCTGATTTCTTATTCATGTGTTCTTTTTCATAACAATGTTTATTTAAAGTACATCAAAGTTGCTAAAACATCCACATTTATGCCAGGTGGTGTGTGGTTTAGGGAGCATTAATTGTTATAAAGTTCATAAAAGTGGGAATAGGTCAGTGGTGTAACTGTCAGTGGTATAACATGGGCAAATGTTACGCCACTGACAATTTTTGTTACACCACTGACAAAATGTTCATTTAAGTCACTTGTTCACAAAACTCAACTGCTTTGCATTGTATTTATCCAGTTTATTTTATGACCATTAACTCATGTAAAGTCTGTGAAGGTAATTTGTTCTGGTATATTAGTATATAAAGTTCAGAAAAATCAGTGGTGTAACAAATAATGTCATTGGTGTAACAGCATTACTACAATATGTTCATTTTATTGTTTTAATATTATTTTTGATAAACCTTTTAAAATCTGCGTGTTCAAAAGTTGCTATTGAGCTGTTCAATTCTATTAATGATCAATTAAAGGCAATTAATTTGAATTTATCGTTGAAGTTAATTCAATAAAAATCAGTGGTGTAACAAAAATGTCATTGGTGTAACAATATTACTACTATTTGTTCATTTTATTGCTTTTGTATAGTAGTTTTTAAAACCTTTTAAAATCTGAGTGTTCGAATTTGCCGTTGAGCTGTTTAAATCTGTTAATTATCAATTAAAGGCAATTAATTTGGATTTATATTTAGAGTGAGGTAAAGAAAAATCAGTGGTGTAACACAAAATGTCATTGGTGTCACAGTATTCTTTGAATTTGTACATTTTAATCTTAACTGTTGATATCATTTGTTTTCCCGCCACATGTTGGAAAGCTGTTCTCCAATGATGATTATTAAGTAATCCAAAGCATCATATGGCTGTTGATTTGGTTTACTGTTCCAGTAAGTTGCAGAAAGTTCAGTGGTGTAACAGGCAGGATATCAAAAAATATCAGTGGTGTAACATGCATATTTGCTAACATTTAATTATTTCAAAAGAATAATTTAACAGTTAGACTGATATTTTATGATAACTGAAAACAGCTTTAATAGCACTGTATACATAAAACATGATCAGTCTTAAGTATACAAGTTATTTCAGAAAAAATATCATATGTTACCATTACATTCTTCTCACACCAAGCCCTTTTTGCCAAATTTACAATTAAATATGTGAGAATAATGAAACGATTTAATTTATACTTGAAAATAGAAAAAGTTTGTAAATAACGACAAATGTGAAAAATTCCTTATCTGACATCAAAGTTTGAAAAAGAATACTTTTATGCTTGTTACACCACTGACGGTTTTTTTTCAGTGGATACTTTAAAAAGTTTATTTTAAAAATATTTTATTACTTTCCTGTGTGCAAATTATCATGACCGCATTCTTTAAGGTGTTGACCATTCAAAACAATAATGAGATAATTCAGTATGATGTTTTGTATTTTCATATTTTGCATAGCACAAATTTGGCCTTTTTGAGAATGACCCGTTATCTGCTTGAACACATTTTCTGGGACCAAATTGTTTCTGCTTGAACACATTTTCTGGGACCAATGAATTATAAAACTATGTCACATTAAATATAACACTCAAGGTGGGGACACCTTCACTTTCCTTGCAAAAAGACTGTATTTGTGTCAAGTTGCTAACAACAAATATATCAGTATATTAATGTATATATTTTAGTTCATACTAGAATGTGGTTGTATATTTGACTTAGGTTGGTTGGTTTAGCTTTTATATAGATCTCATGAGTAAGCAAAACAAGATCATATTATATTTTTCTAACTACAATTTACACAAATGAATTATCTTGTGGTTTATAGTATACAGATTGTTGAAAGTTATTTGATACGTTACCTTTGTTATCTACTGCACTGGGAACACTTTGAGCTTAGCCCTGCATGTTTCCTGAATCTCAGGACTCTGATATACATCTCAGGGTAAGGACAGGCAAATTGTTTGGAAACATTGTCTGTGTCAAGATGCCAAAATGCAGGATGTGAAATAAAACAAATGAAAACTACTGTTGTCGTGGATTTATTGTTTACAGTTTACTAGTTACTTGAACAAGTTGAATGTGAGCTAGTTGGATCTAATGCTGCTTTGAACAGGATTCCAGTTGCATCACAGCGCCATGTGTGAGGAAATCTCTAAGTGATGCCAATGATAATGGGTACGGTGCTGACACACCTAGAAACATAATCGTGGCAAACTTGATGCCGCTTTAACAGGATTCCACTTGTATCACAACATCTCAGGTTCATGAGTGAGTGAGTGGGTGAGTCTAGCATTACTCCGCAGTCAGCAATATTCAAGCTATATGGCGGCGGTCTGTTAATAATGGAGTCAGACAATCTAGTGATCAACAGTATGAGCATCAAACTACGCAATTGGGATCCGATGACATGTGTCAACCAAGTCAGCGAGCCTGACCACCCGATCCTGTTAGTAGCCTCTTACGTAGGGTTACTGAAGTATGGGTTACTGAAGATCAGTTCTAACCCGGATCTTCACGAGTTCAATCTGGAGAAAAAGCCTACACTGATGCAGGTCTCAGATGGTGACCTTGGTGAAACCTATGATAATGATTGCTGACAACCTAGAAACATAATCGGGGCAGACTGGGATTTGATCCCACAATCATGTGTCTGACCTGCCCAAGGGACACAACTCTGCACAGAGAATTGAGACAATGAAAACATCTGGGCAAAAGAACTCGCAAACCTTTACTTCAGTTATCAGTCAGGTCTGTGTGTTTTTGATAAGCGTGATATTGCCTTAAGAGATATATTTAGCAGTGAAGTGCACTACAGGTTTTAGTGTCTTCAATAGGAACATACATTTTTTGTTTATGTTCTGCAACAGAAAAATGAAAACACAATAAATGGACTTTTCTTAGATGCCAGTTTATATGTGTCATTTATTCCATCTTACAACTTACGACAAATGTACCAAATTTCATTCCACTTGAAGCAAATGGTTAGCGATGGCCTTTCAGGTAGGCAGCCACGGCAGCAATATTGAAAATTGGATTTGAAACACTAAAAATAATATGGTCCCTTCACTGGTAGGAAAGATCATGTGAACTTTCAGCTTCATTTGTCCAGTGATTTCTGAGGAGATGATTACAATGAATGCTGAATGCTGGATATCAGGCCAGGGCCCCGTCTCACAAGGCTCTCGTAAGCCTAAGATCTCGTAACATTTCTCGTAGCATTCGTTCTTCCTATACTGAATCATTGACTTAGGCCCCAAAAAATAAATGTTGTCGTTCCGATTTCCTACATTTCAGAACTAGAGTAGGTAGGTAGGGTTGTTGTTGTTTTTGCAAAATATTTTTACATTACTCATGTGTCAGAAAATAAATTTAATTTATTATGTGGTGAGAAAACTGTTAGGTTCAGCGGGAATATTTAGGGTCGGTCGGGAAAGAGGAACCACAAGCTCTTTTTTTTTAGGCCTTACCATAGTCGTAGCGCTACAAGAGCTTTGTGAAAAGGGGCCCAATACATGAGCTTACTTTTTGTCAGTTGAGCTAAAAAATGTCCTCTCTGACAAGAGATCATCACAACACGTTGTCATTTCCCACACGCAGCAACTACTGAAGCTTCAGAAGAGTAGATGAGAGTTGTGTACAGTGCTACAGTTAATGATTACAGACAATCAAGTCTCAAGTCAACTCATACATTCAGTCTGACTTACATTCCTCCCAACACATGATCTCAACACAGGTTGTTAGATGTCTGATGGCTGCATAATGAAAGTAAACAATCACTGACATACATAAATACAAATTGTTTCATACTTGATAAATTTTATTATACATTTTATACAAACGCATTCACATTGTATTAATATACAAAACAAATAGGTCTCCAAAACTCTATCTATATACATACATACATGTTGTAAGACCTTGTCACTCTTCATGCATAACAACCATCACAGAGATTTTAGTTCAAACAGTCATTGCATAGCACTTTTTTCACTGTGGCCAACTCCTCTAATGTTCCGTCAAGAGTTACCTCCCCTTGTATTCCATTGACGTGATGAGCGAGAACGCTAGAGATTCCACTGTAAAACAACAAAATTTGCATTTAAATGGAATAAACAAGAAATGGTAAAACAAATGATAACTTTATCCTCACTATATTGTGTTTCCAATGGATCTGTATAAATACAGATGATACATTGCTCCACGGTCATGATGTTAGTACAATGTCGTAACTGAGACACTGTCTGTAAATTTAGAGAATTATAAACGCTGGATGAATATATATCATAGATTGTCGATGAAGCTGCCATTTAGACTTTGTATCAGGCACAGCTAGTCTCCATTTTAATTCTGATATGACACAGGGCTGTTTGCTACTGCACTGAGTATGTCCCATCCATTCTGTGGACGCTGACCCAACATTGATATAACGTGTACACGTACAGTGAGGGAAGGATCCTCGCTTGATGACGTTGTTGAGGAAAGAGGCCAAGAACTGTATACAGCGTGAAAACTCCAGCTCCATGTCTTCAATAATCTTCATGCTGTCAACGCATGAAAACGTGTTACACACTTCAGCCCAAAACTCATCCATGTTGAAACAGGGTCCAGATTTTCAAAACGATCTTAGTCATGGTTAATCTTAAAAACTTATTTCATAGATAAAATATCTAAAGTTGAAGATGAAATGCTTTTTCGAGACAGTCTTTAACCATTCACAGATTATACAAAGCTTCGATATCTATCTTAACTCTGACAGAGAACTCACTAGTGTTACAGACTGCAAAGCAATGTGCCTTCCAATCGGGATTTCCCGCCGCTGTCAGTGACGTGAAGTAACACATTGTTGGGCGACTGTGTTAAATACGCAATTATGTGAGTGACTTTCCACATGATCCCACATATACATGTTCTGTTTCTATGCTAAGAGATGCCATGACAACCCTAAAATAATAGTACCGGGTAGTCTACGATTTCCTTGTGATAACATTACAATAATTTCTGGATAAGATTATCTTAAAAATTAAGATCTCAAAGCTCTCGTAAGCCTACATCTGGTAACTTTTCTCAAAGCATTTGTTATTCCTATACTGAAAACTGACTTAAGATAGTCGCAGCGCAATGAGAGCTTTGTGAAACGGGGCCCAGATATCTATCATCATGAAAGGATTGCAGAAATTCAAACAAACCTGTAGAGGTTGCTGATTCTTTGATGAGAGTCCTCCTTGGGGTGCATTAAAATATCCATTTTTAAACCCAACGACAGTTGTAACTATATTTTGAATAAAATATATTACAAAACAAAAACCTACGTACTTGTCTTGTTTGAGCACCCCTACGGTGCCCAGAATGGAACCGTCCACCAAGAACTGGTAACTCTAAGGGCTAACCTCATACCTCACTTTCACTGCTGAACCATGACTGACAGTATGTGGGGAGGTGGGTGGCCGTACCCTAAGGAGGACTCTCATCAAAGAATCAGCAACCTCTTCAGGTTTGTTCGATTCTTTTTCATGAGAGATCCTCCTTGGGGTACATATAAGCATAAGACAGACTCCTAAAGACAAGTGTCCTGGGAGTGGCATTATGTTGGTAAATATAAGCACTATACCAGTGGAATTTCCCAAACTATGAATAGAATAAGAAGCTTTGGCCAAGTGACCTCTTCAGCCAATTGGGCGAGGGAGTGGCCCAGGGTCAAGGGTTACATATTTAGGTCATATGCAAATATTGCAATGTATGTTACACACCTAGAAAAATGTCCACCCCAATCCCTGCTTTTGTAATCTAACTATGGAGGCAGTGGCAAATAACTTCCATGAAACTGCGGCAAAGCGGAGATTTTCAATGGAGAAAATGGCGTGCATACAGGCAATATTCCAGACGGGGAGAACAAGCCAACAACAATAACAGGGTTGCCACAGATGACGAAAGTTCAAATTCCCTGACTTTTCCCTGACCAATTTGATTTTTCATTGATCAATATTAGAAGAAAACAATTAAAATTTCGTCCTCCAAACTCCCCTACAGCCGACCTTTCCACCCATTTTACTAAAGACAAAGTGAAATCTTAAGACAAAGTAATCAGATGTAATCAAACAAATACAGAGATCCATCTAACATCCAGATGAGTTATATGACACAGAAATATTACCTCTGGTAACACTGACATAAGAGTTTTGATTTTTTTTTTTTTTCAATTTCAAAGTTTTTATTGTCAGAAAGTCCCTGTTACAAGATTGAGGATCGCCTCCAGGAAAAGGGTGACTCTCATTTGTACAGTATGAAATCTTTCTCTGTGTCTGCTTTTCAATTATAATATATTTTCACACCCAAATATAAAAAGTTCCGCAGAGAGCTTGATATTGAACATGTGGTCACATTTCTGTGTCAACCATCCATTGAAGTTATTCCAAAATATGTCTACAAATGGACACTGCCAAAACAAGTAAACTAAAGTTTATAATACCAATCTCTATACAAAAACACATTTAATACAGACATGGAACTCAAAATCATACAATTGTTGCCTCTGTGAAGTCTGAAAAGAACTAGTTTTCCCTGACCAAAGGCAATTTTCCCTGACTTTTTCCCCAAAACTTCAATTTTCACTGACTGGTAACAAAATTCCCTGACTTTTCCCTGATCTTGAAAAAATAATTTCTTCCCTGACTTTTCCCTGACCTGTGGAAACCCTGAATAACCCGACACCAAACAAGGGTAGGGAAAGAGAGTTGTATACTTATCCGCCACCAGTAAAAATTACGACTCTGCCCACTAAGCCGCAGCATACGCCATTGATATGGCTACTGCTCTAACCGAATGAGCTCTTTGTGTGTATAGCTCATACAAATGGCAGAGACAAGCCACCTGGAAATGGTTTGCTTGTTTGCTGGTAGACCAGCCTTACCCCCACCATAACAGCAGAACAATTGGTTATCTCTGCGGATAGCCAATGTTCGCTTGATATAAGTCTTGAGAGTCGTACGCACATCTAAGACGTGAGCATTTCGAAGAAAGGTACCCAAAGAGGTGCCAGGAGCACAAGTAGTTGAGCTGTTTGAGTGGCCAACCGCGACCGGACTTTGGAAATCAGTGGTATCGGTGGAAACGCCCACAGTATTCTGTCTGTCCAATCGAGCTGGAAGGCATCGTTGGTTAATGCCCTCAGATCCGGAATCCGAGAGCAGAACACTGGAATGTGGTTCATTGCCCCATAGGCAAACAGATACCCTGGTTGAGCATCCATTCGTATGCTAGTATACGAAAGACAGCACTTCTTTTATTTTGTTCAGCCCATTGAGATTTAGAATGGGTCTGAACCCTCCGTCCTTCTTGGTCACGATGAAATACGTGGAGTAAAATCCCGCGTTGTAGTGACCTTTCCGGAACCACCTTGATGGCTGCCTTGTCCAGCAAAGACTGAACTTCGGCACAGAGAATGTCCACCCCGGGAGGCTGGCACTGGTGTGTGTCGCACTCTGGTGAATGGCGGTGGACCTCACCTCCACTGTGGCATGTTGCCATCCCTGAGTGTGGACAGGACCCAAGGATTTGAAGTGGCTTTCACCCATTCCGAGAGGAAGAGCATGAGCCGTCCGCCAAAAGGGACGTTTGGCATGAGGCAGTGCACCCCACAGTCGGCCGGGGCAGGCTTCCCCTTCCCCCGAGAAGGCTGCTGCGAAGGAGCTGCCTTACCCTTGCCTCGTGCCCGTCTTAACCTGCAATGGAGCAGTCCACTTTGCAGGCTCCTTTGCTGGCGCAGAAGGATACCAAGAGGCAAGAGGCGAGGGCTGCTGGCAAAAAGTGAGGGGTTGTTCTAGTAAGGGCTTGGAGTCAAAAGTACTAACCGCCTCCGCAGCCTCTCGGACTACTTTCAGTCCCAAGGAAACAGGGAGGAACCCATGGTGTAAGGCAAAGAAAGTAGTGCCTACTGTGTGGTTGGCGAGTAGCATGCAACTTCTTTGATGGGCATTTTAGAAGTTGTGAGTTGATGAAGAATAATGACAATTATTATGGATATACAACTGACAGCCACAAATGACGCAGGCCCATGACAGCGCCCATCATCTGACTGGCACAACGGATGCTGTCCTTTGCCAGATGAGAATGGACGTCTGTCAGCTGCCTAGCCAATGAGGGGGATGATGCGTCATCCCCACTCGACCCCTGGTCTACAAACTTGACAGGCAGACAGGTACGCCGAGTAGACAGCCACATGCAGCTGCTGAGCTCTGCTACGATACTGCTCTTCAAATGGTAGGCAGACTTCTGCGCCAGGGCATTGTTAGGGAAAGGGGGCAGCCGCCGGCCCTGCCTCGCTGAGGCTAGGGAGGAAGACAACCCACCTAGGGTGACTGAAGTGTACACACACTCGTCCACCACTGGTGGCTCAAAGAGTGTCTCCTCCTCAATCGGGTAACGTCTGCTAAGATCGGGCAGATCAAAGCAGGACCGGGTACCCAACAGTACTGTTTTTGGTTGGTTGGGAAGAAGAAGAGAGAAGAAGAGGAGGAGGGAGGGAGGAAAGAGAGAGGGAGGAGTAGAGAGACGGAGAGAGGAAAGGGAGCGAAGGAGGGATGTCGAAACTGTCAGAGGGTTCTAAAATGGACATTTTAATGCTTATATGTACCCCAAGGAGGATCTCTCATGAAAAAGAATCATATGTTTATGTTGATAGTTACCTCCTCCAAATATATTTGCGTTTGTTTTTTTGCTTTCTCTGTTGAATCACATCTCAGAGGACAAAATACTTTGAAGTAAGAAAGTAATTTCTGCAGTTAAAGAGTGAGAATGGATTTAGATCTTTTCCAACTATCCAGCAATAACAGGTCGGGGAAACCATGAAACCATGCTGGGAATCAAGCCTTGCGGCCTTGAGGTTAAAGCATTCATTCATCATGTTGAATTTCCTGTATGGCTACAATTTTTTAATCCCACATCTTGAGCTTCAGCTGAATATTGCTTAAAGCAGCTTAAACCCATACTCAAACACACATACAACTTTATTTTATCTCAAAGTAAATATCATGAACATCAAATGAATTTTGCTCTGTGGATTGTTTGCGTTAGTCAACATAACATGTAACTCATGATCACAAGGTGCATCCCTCCTTTCAGAACGCTGTCTGTGCTTAAAATCTACATCCTAGAACACTGTCTGTATTGTTTCTGACCTGACTTCATCCACACCCTGGTCCCAGACCTTGTGGAAGCTGAGGATGAGGTTGAGGACTTTGAGCACAGCCTCCCTGAGGAAGGCCACCTTGGGATGCAGCAGGCAGCGCTCGTGTATCTTGCTCACGTAGCTGTTGTGGGCAGCGATGATCTGGTCAAGGTCCACGCTGGCCTCAATATCACTCTGGAACTCAAGCCCGGTACTCTGCAAGATCTGCCGGAAGAGCAATCAAACAATATTAGGAGTCCATACATGACTTGTACTGTATAACACAGTCACTGTAAGATAAAATATATGTACTATGGAGTTTGTGGGAGTCTCAGAGTAAGACATAGTCCCTAGTCTGCGAGTCAACAAGACAAGACTTGAACACCTAGGCTTCAACACCACAAATAGTGCATCTGCCTGATCCTTGTAATGACGAGTATGTAGACTGTTGGTGTAATAACTTATAGGCTACCCCACTGAGTGTTAATGAAATATCCTCAAGGTTACTCCCACCAACTGTTGATGAAACATCCTTGCGGCTAACCCATCAACTATTAACAAAATAACCTCCACACAACCATACCAACTGTTGACAAAATAACTTCCATGGTTACCCCACCAAGTGTTGCTGAAATAACCCGTAGGTTCCCCTGACACCCTTAAACAGGTGACTGCAGAAGAATACTGACCCTGGTCATGATGTAGTTGTGGAGGCTGTTGACGAAGTAGAGCAGGCGGAACCTCAGCAACTGCATGCGATGTATGCGAGTGTTACGCGTGGTATCCTCTTCCTCGTACTGAGACAAATGGATGCTCTTCAAGATGTCCTCCTTCTGCAGATCTGGAATAATATTTGTCTTGGTGTTTAATGCTACAGTGTGTAATATATCTGACTATTTTCAAGAATCTGTTCAATGTGAAAGAGTCTGGGCAAACAACTGACTGTATTGTTGCATGATGTCCGATGTAATCTATGACATGAAAACACCTCAGTCAGCCTGACCATCATGTCCAGTGAGTTGCCTCTTACAACCAGCTGCAGGGTACTCAGTCCCAATGACAGAGTGCAATAATAACAGGAAGATAGTCTTTTGTGGAGATTAATTAGAGAGAGTGAGAAGAGTTTTATGTCGCTGTTAGCAATATTCCAGCAATATCACGACCGGGGCCTCGAGAAATGGGCTTCACACATTGTACCTATGTGGGGAATCGAACCTTAAATACGAGGCTACCCCACTGCCCGAGATTACTTAGAAGGAAAATTAGTTACATAATAGTATACAATCTGGTTCTCAGCATTGAATTGCACATAACCTGAGCACTAGTAAATGAGTGAGTTAGTTTAGTTTTACGCCGCTTTTAGCAATATTCCAGAAAATATTACACCAGAAAAAGGCTTCACACATTGTACCCATGTGGGGAATCAAACCTGGGTCTTCAGCGTGACAAGCGAAAGCTTCAACCACAAGACTATCCTCCCATCACCCCAAACTGTGCACCAAGAACTGTGCATATCACAGGTGCTGAGATACTACGGATCATCACACACAGAAGATACCACCAGCATGCACTAATTACATACCAAAGAAGCGGAGCTGCTCCAGGCAGTACTTCGCTCTCTTCACTTGCAGGAGGAAGGAGAAGATCTGGTTGTAGATATCCTGACTCCGAGAGCTTATTACCAGGTCTACTGGCCAGGGAACCTGAATAAATACAATCGATAATAACACTAGAATTTCAACCATAACAATCCCATTATAAGTAACCATCCCATGACTGCAGATCGATGCTCATGCTGTCGATCACTGGATAGTCTGGACCAGACTCAATTATTTACAGACCACCGCCATATAGCTGGAATATTGCTGAGTGCGGTGTAAAGCTAAACTCACTCACTCACTCTCAGTTACAGTAAGTATACTGCTTATGTGACGACCAATCCATGTTCAGTCTATGTGCTGTTTAATAAGGCTGCAAGGATTCACGCAGACCTTGATTTGATTCGATTTTCGATATTGGGCCTTTGGTTCGATCATTTTCAAATCGATTTTTCATACAAGGAAAAACATCAGTTTTCATTTAACTCTCAGAGTCAGCTTTTTAAGCGTGAAATCTAGTGTTGGGGATCGGAAACCAAATCCACTATCAATTATCGGAGGATTGTGGTGAACGATTATCGATTATAATCGAAATATATACATCTTTCATGAAATCACCAATTTGAAGGGTTTTTCACCAGGTTTTTTCTAATAAATGTTTCTTATAACTAATACTGTCATGCAATGAAATGCACGCATGCAAGAAAGACACTGGAATTGTAATCAAACAATAAAAGTGGTTAAAATTTTACAATGCGCATAGCTTTACTCTGTTGAGTGCATGTTTGCTCGTGAATATTTGTCAAATGTAATCGCTAGTTTACTTTATAAAATTGTTAAACTAAAACAACAAAATTCCAATTAATCGAAAGTATGATTTTTATAATCGATAATCATTTTTAATCCTTCTTTCGATCTATTTTCGATCATGGGCACACCACTAGTGAAATCAATAATGAACTTGGCGATGTCTTCTAACAACAATTCTCATTGGATAATTAGCCTGGCGTCAACCAATCAAACTTCGCCTTATTTCAGCGCTCGAAACTGCTCGAGTTGGGAATCAAAATTACATGGTTATAAAAAATCGAAATTAAGGTGTCAGATTCGATTTTCGATTAATCAAACCGAATCGTTGCAGCCCTACTGTTTAAAACCAGCATTGAGCAGGGTAAGGTGAATCTAGACCTTCATCAGCCATATTGGACATCTTACCGCATATGACAGCTTGATACAGTCAGTGACACTTATAGGGAACTTCTCCTTGACATTAGGAGTCTCTAAAGTAACGCTCAATCTGAAACATGACACATAAAATAAAATCAACCTGAATAAAATACAACATTAATACCTCCCTGAATAATAGTCAGAGGAAATCTCCATAGAACAATGAATCATATGAACCAAGAGTGAACAATGACTTCCTAATCAAAATATAGGATGCATAAGCTTTTGAGCCAATCAAATGTCATCTTAATGATATTATGCGACTTCAAAACTTCACCACCTTTGTTTGATTTGTCAGGGAACTGACCCAGAATATTCCTGATTGTAATACCTTTTGAGTGTCCATGCTTCAAAACAATATAATAGCATGCAGATGTCCCTGATCATACCTATTTTTAAGAAGCAGATTACTTGTCTACAACTTCACTCACCTGTGCCAATGATTTAGAAGTTTTAACACTGATTGGACAGATAGTTAAAGGCCAGGGTTCAAACCTATACACAGATGGGGCATGGCCTCCTTGCCTTGTCAAAGCTGTCCTTAGATGCAAAGCAATGTAGTATTCAAGTACATTCCATGAAATATCACAAAACTGACTCACCGGTTCAGGCTGATATTAAGTCATAGTATACACAGTATGTTGTGAAGACTCACAGCAAAAAGTATGGATGCAAAGAGTCTACAAAACATACATTTTGAAATTATATTTCTGATTTATTCCAAAGACTCTCCAGTTTGTCCAAACATGAAAAGTCGATCCGTGAAAGACAATTTAATACAAACACATTCACTGTGTATTACAGTAGGTTTGGACTTCAAGTAAGATCTACATATAGCTGAATGTTCAATAACTTAGTATGTCTAATTGAGTTATTCTTAATTTTAACCTAAAAGTTTGACCAACTCAACATAATTGAGTGAGGTGGTTTAGTTTTACACCACCAATCAGCAATATTCCAGCTATATGGCAGCGAGTATGTAAAAATAATCGAGGTCTGGACGGACAATCCAGTGATCAACAGTATGAGCATCGATCTGCGCCAATTGGGAACTGATGACCGCGTGTCAACCAAAGCCAGCGAGCCTGACCACTTGATCCCGTTAGTCACCTCTTCACGACTTGCATGGGTTACTGAAGGTTCGTTCTAACCCAGACCTTCACGGGTCAACATAACTTAAAATATTGTGAACATATATCCGATCTTTTTGTTCAACAACTAACATTTTCTAGACAGCAGACATATTTCCCCTGATATTATTTTCATCATAACCTATATGACAATCACAAATTAACATGTTTGATATGAATGGATTCTTCATAAGGAGACTACATTGCCCTGGGTCTGACCTGCTTGTCTCGTCAGGGTAGAGTGCGTACATGGCCTCGTGTAGGACCAGATTCAGCACAGAGAGGTCCCTCCACTGTTCCATGTTCTTCATCTGTCAGCAACAAGTTAAACCAGCCAGTCAAAATGAGGTATAATGGTTTAACATCACATAAAGTATAGTTCATGTGTATAGAGGCAGCATCCCTGCACATGTGTGTCTGTCTGCTTGTACTGTGCCTGTCTAATAATGACTAGCTTTCACGTATGCCTGTTTAATAGTGACTAGTTCATCATGTGCCCATGTAATACCATTCCGCCAGTTTCACATGGAGACCTCACTCAGACATATGACACTGACCCCAAAACCAACCAGTCCTTGTTTCATACCCTTTGTGCTGAGCACCGTTAGCTATCAGCTATTGTAGTCATGTATTGCTCTACTTTTACTTTCACCACCACACATACCCTACTCCAAACCCAGGACCACTGCCATTTGCCTCATCCCCCACCAGGACCAACAGCCATCTGACTCATCCCCACGAAGACCAACACCCATCTGACTCATCCCCAGGGTAACAATTATCAAAGTTGAATCGGTTTTTTAGGCATAGCGCGGCTAGAGGATTAAACAACAGTTTTTCCACTCTCTGGACAGACACTCTATCCACAGCACAACAGAAGAATTCATTTCAAATGGAAGCGTTGACTTTTTATCCAGATGAATGCATAGTGTAAACTGTGAACTTTTCATTGCCAGACCAAAAAACGACAACACTGAAATACTAGTCAAGGCAAAGGGTTCGTAAGGCTCTTTTAAAAGAGTTCACAAACATCACAGACACAGATGACATGCTCTTGTAATACATGAACATTAAATACCAAAACTGATAGAGTATTCTTCAAGTAGGGGTGAAACTGTATACCACAGTGTTTAGTAGAATTGCAGTATTTTGCCTTCGGTTCGATATATCGAAATGCAATCTAAAAATTCGGTATTTTCAGATTTCGTACCGTTTTTCTATCTAGTAATGAAATGACAGTTTTGTTCATTCAAAATAACAAAGATTCTGGTTATTTTTTTCCCCATGTTATTAAACATTGTAAGGTTTGGCTCTTGTTGTCAATTTTCTGCATTATGATCATATCTCATATGCCGAACCGTAGTACATACCAAACCGTGGTAAGAGCATAACGTTTCACCCCCCATCCTCAAGCACAGGACATAACTCCAGCGATGAGTTCCCTCATCACAACCCTGCTGAAAGAGTTGCTATGACATGGACCACTAGGACTCCCATGCCACCCCTAATGAGTTAGTATATCAATGTGAGGTGGAATACTCACCCTGTCAAATATGTCTGTGTAAAAGTTGAACATAGTGTCACCTGCCTCCATCAAGAAAAACTTCTGCAAGTACAAAGACATACGCATGCAACAAGGAGCAAGACAACATCACAACTGTCCAACAAGTAAAGACATTTTTTTAAAAGCATTTCAACACTCTGTAAAGGTAGTGAATTACCATTAGCTATCAGCTATTGTAGTCATGTATTGCTCTACTTTTACCTTCACCACCACACATACCCTACTCCAAACCCAGGACCACTGCCATTTGCTTCATCCCCCAGTCAGGACCAACAGCCATCTATCTCACCCTAGTGTTGGGAATTGGAAACCAAATCCACTATCGATTATCGGAGGATTGTGGTGAACGATTATCGATTATAATTGAAATATATACATCTTTAATGAAATCACCAATTTGAAGGGTTTTTCCCCAGTTTTTTCTTATAACTAATACTGCCATGCAATGAAATGCATGCATGCAAGAAAGAGACACTGGAATTGTAATTAAACAATAAAAGTAGTTAAATTTTTTACTAGTTTACTTCATTCAAGTGTGTTAAAACCAAAACAACAAAATTCCAATTAATCGAAAATATGGTTTTTTTACAATTGATAATCATTTTTTTAATCCATCTTTCGATTGATTTTTCGATTATTTTCGATCATCGGAACACCACTACTCACCCCCACGAAGACCAACAGCCATCTGACTCACCCCCACCAGGACCAACAGCCATCTGACTCACTCCCACCAGGACCAACAGCCATCTGACTCACTCCCACCAGCCAACAGCCTCTGACTCCCTACCAGGACCAACAGCCATCTGACTCACTCCCACCAGGACCAACAGCCATCTGACTCACTCCCACCAGCCACAGCCATCTGACTCACTCCCCACCCAAAGACCAACAGCCATCTGACTCACTCCCACCAGCCATCTGACTCACTCCCACCAGGACCAACAGCCATCTGACTCTCCCACCAGCCATCCCATGAAGACCAACAGCCATCTGACTCACCCCCACCAGGACCAACAGCCATCTGACTCACCTCCCACCAGGACCAACAGCCATCTGATTCACTCCCACCAGGACCAACAGCCATCTGACTCACCCCTACCAGGACCAACAGCCATCTGACTCTCACTCCCACCAGGACCAACAACAGCCATCTCACTACTCCCACCAAAACCAAGAGCTATCTGACTCCCCTACCAGGACCAACAGCCATCTACCTCACTCCCACCAGGACCAACAGCCATCTCTACTACTCCCTACCAGGACAAACAGCTATCTGACCTCCCCTACCAGGACCAACAGCCATCTCCCTCACTCCTCACCTGGACCAACAGCTATCTGACTCCCCTACCAGGACCAACAGCCATCTACCTCACTCCCACCCTGAACCAACAGCTATCTGACTCCCTACCAGGACCAACAGCTATCTCCCTACTCCCACCTGGACCAACAGCCATCTGACTCACTACCAGGAACCAACAGCTATCTGACCCTCACTCCCACCTGGACCAACAGCTCTGACTCTCCCACCAGGACCAACAGCTATCTCCCTCACTCCCACCAGGACCAACAGCTATCTGACTCCCCTCCCACCAGGACCAACAGCTATCTGACTCCCCTACCAGGACCAACAGCCATCTCCCTACTCCGATCAGGACCAGCAGCCATCTACCCCACTCCCACCAGGACCAACAGCTATCTACACTCACTCCCACCAGGACCAACAGCTATCTGACTCCCCTACCAGGACCAACAGCCATCTCCCTACTCCCACCAAAACAAAGAGCTATCTGACTCCCCTACCAGGACCAACAGCCATCTACCTCACTCCGATCAGGACCAACAGCCATCTCCCTACTCCCACCAAAACCAAAGAGCTATCTGACTCACCCCACCAGGACCAACAGCCATCTACCTCACTCCCACCAGGACCAACAGCTATCTGACTCCCTACCAGGACCAACAGCAATCTACCACTCCCTACTTCGACCAGGACCAACAGCCATCTCCCTACTCCCACCAAAACAAAGAGCTATCTGACTCCCCCCTACCAGGACCAACAGCCATCTCCCTCTACTCCCATCAGGACCAACAGCCATCTCCTCCTCCCACCAAAACAAAGAGCTATCTGACTCACTTCCTACCAGGACCAACAGCCATCTCCCTACTCCCACCAGGACCAACAGCCATCTCCTACTCCCACCAAAACAAAGAGCTATCTGACTCCCCTACCAGGACCAACAGCCATCTCCCTACTCCCACCAGGACCAACAGCTATCTGACTCCCCACCAGGACCAACAGCTATCTGACTCCCCCCACCAGGACCAACAGCTATCTGACTCACTACCAGGACCAACAGCCATCTATCTGACTCCCCTCACCAGGACCAACAGCCATCTGACTCACTCCCACCAGGAACCAACAGCTATCTACTCTCCCATCACCAGGACCAACAGCCATCTGACTCCTACTCCCACCAGGACCAACAGCTATCTGACTCCCCTACCAGGACCAACAGCCATCTCCCTACTCTCACCAGGACCAACAGCCATCTCCCTCACTCCCACCAGGACCAACAGCTATCTGACTCCTACCAGGACCAACAGCCAACATCTCCTACTACTCCGATCAGGACCAACAGCCATCTCCCTACTCCCACCAAAACAAAGAGCTATCTGACTCCCCTACCAGGACCAACAGCCATCTCCCTACTCCGATCAGGACCAACAGCCATCTCCCTACTCCCACCAAAACAAAGAGCTATCTGACTCCCCTACCAGGACCAACACCCATCTACCTCACTCCCACTAGAACCAACAGCTATCTGACTCCCCCACCAGGACCAACAGCTTTCTGACTCCCCTACCAGGACCAACAGCAATCTACCTCACTCCGATCACGACCAACAGCCATCTCCCTACTCCCACCAAAACAAAGAGCTATCTGACTCCCCTACCAGGACCAACAGCCATCTCCCTACTCTCCAACCAGGACCAACAGCCATCTCCCCAGCATCTCTTCCCACCAAAACAAAGAGCTATCTGACTCCCTACCAGGACCAACACCCATCTCTCCTACCAGGACCAGCCTCCCCTCCAGGACCAACAGCCATCTCCCTACTCCCACCAAAACAAAGAGCTATCTGACTCCTACCAGGACCAACAGCCATCTACCTCTACTCCCACCAGGACCAACAGCCATCTGACTCCACTCCCACCAGGACCAACAGCTATCTGACTCTCCTACCAGGACCAACAGCCATCTACTCTCACTCCCACCAGGACCAACAGCTATCTGGCTCCCCCACCAGGACCAACAGCTATCTAGCTGACTCCTACCAGGACCAACAGCTATCTGACTCCCCTACCAGGACCAACAGCCATCTACCTCACTCCCATCAGGACCAACAGCCATCTCTCACTACTCCCACCAAAACAAAGAGCTATCTGACTCCTACCAGGACCAACAGCCATCTCCCTACCATCAGGACCAACAGCCATCTCCCTACTCCCACCAGGACCAAGAGCTATCTGACTCCCCTACCAGGACCAACAGCCATCTACCTCACTCCCACCAGGACCAACAGCTATCTGACTCCCACCAGGACCAACAGCCATCTGACTCACTCCCACCAGGACCAACAGCTATCTCTGAGCTATCTGACTCCTCCCAGGACCAACAGCCCATCTACCTCACTCCCACTCAGGACCAACAGCCATCTCCCCTACTCCCCACCAACACAAAGAGCTCCCATCTGAGCTCCTCCCTACCAGGACCAACAGCCATCTCCCTCCTCCCACCAGGACCAACAGCCATCTCCCTCACTCCCACCAGAACCAAACAGCTATCTGACTCCCCTACCAGGACCAACAGCCATCTGACTCTACTCCCACTCAGGACCAACAGCCATCTGACTCCCCTCAGGACCAACAGCCATCTCTAGGACCAATAGCTATCTGACTCCCCACCAGGACCAACAGCTATCTCCTACTCCTACCAGGACCAACAGCCATCTACCTCACTCCCACCAGGACCAACAGCTATCTGACTCCCCATCTCCTAGGACCAACAGCCATCTGACTCTCCCACCAGGACCAACAGCTATCTGACTCCTACCAGGACCAACAGCCATCTCCCTACTCCCACCAGGACCAACAGCCATCTCCCTACTCCCACCAAAACAAAGAGCTATCTGACTCCTACCAGGACCAACACCCATCTCCTCACCCCTATCAGGACCAACAGCCATCTCCTCACTCCCACCAGGACCAAAGAGCTATCTGACTCCCCTACCAGGACCAACAGCCATCTACCTCACTCCCACCAGAACCAACAGCTATCTGACTCCCCCACCAGGACCAACAGCTATCTGACTCCCCTACCAGGACCAACAGCTATCTGACTCCCCCACCAGGACCAACAGCTATCTGACTCCCCCACCAGGACCAACAGCTATCTGACTCCCACCAGGACCAACAGCTATCTCCCTACTACCAGGACAGGAGCCATCTATCCACCTCACTCCCAGCCATCTCCCTACTCCCACCAGCTATCTGACTCCCTACCAGGACCAACAGCCATCTCCCTACTCCGACCAGGACCAACAGCCATCTACCTCACTCCCACCAGAACCAACAGCTATCTGACTCCCCTACCAGGACCAACAGCCATCTCCCTACTCCGATCAGGACCAACAGCCATCTCCTACTCCCACCAGGGGACCAACAGCTATCTGACTCTCCCACCAGGACCAACAGCCATCTCCTCTCCCACCAGACCAACAGCCATCTGATCCTGGAGGACCAACAGCCATCTGACTCACTCCCACCAGGACCAACAGCTATCTGACTCCCCCACCAGGACCAACAGCCATCTGACTCCCCCCACCAGGACCAACAGCTATCTGACTCCCCCCTACCAGGACCAACAGCCATCTGACTCACTCCTACCAGGACCAACAGCCATCTCCCTACCTCACTCCCACCAGGACCAACAGCTATCTGACTCCCCCTACTCAGGACCAACAGCCATCTGACTCCCCTCCACCAGGACCAACAGCTATCTGACTCCCCTACCAGGACCAACAGCTATCTGACTCCCCACCAGGACCAACAGCAATCTACCTCCTCCCACCAGGACCAACAGCTATCTCCCTCCTACCAGGACTCCCCTACCACAGCCATCTCCCTACTCCCACCAGGACCAACAGCCATCTACCTCACTCCCACCAGAACCAAGAGCTATCTGACTCCCCTACCAGGACCAACAGCCATCTCCCTACTCCGATCAGGACCAGCAGCCATCTACCTCACTCCCACCAGGACCGACAGCTATCTGACTCCCCTACCAGGACCAACAGCCATCTCCCTTACTCCCACCAGGACCAACAGCCATCTGACTCCCACCAGGACCAACAGCCATCTGACTCCCCCACCAGGACCAACAGCCATCTGACCTCCTCCACCAGGACCAACAGCCATCTCTCCCCACTCCAACCTATCACCAGGACCAACAGCCATCTACCTCACTCCCACCAGGACCAACAGCTATCTGACTCCCCTACCAGGACCAACAGCTATCTGACTCTCCCACCAGGACCAACAGCCATCTCTCTACTCCCACCAGGACCAACAGCTATCTGACTCCTCCCACCAGGACCAACAGCCATCTGACTCCCTACCAGGACCAGCAGCCATCTCCTCCCCAACCAGGACCAACAGCTATCTGACCTACTCCCACCAGGACCAACAGCTATCTGACTCCCCTACCAGGACCAACAGCCATCTCCCTACTCCGATCAGGACCAGCAGCCATCTACCTCACTCCCACCAGGACCGACAGCTATCTGACTCCCCTACCAGGACCAACAGCTATCTCCCTCCCCTACCAGGACCAACAGCTATCTGACTCCCCCACCAGGACCAACAGCTATCTGACTCCCCCAGGACCAACAGGACCCAATCAACAGCCATCTCCCTACTCCCACCAGGACCAACAGCTATCTGACTCCCCTACCAGGACCAACAGCCATCTCCCTCCTCCGATCAGGACCAACAGCTATCTACCTCACTCCCACCAGGACCAACAGCTATCTGACTCCCCTACCAGGACCAACAGCTATCTCCCTATTCCGACTCAGGACCAACAGCCATCTCCCTACTCCCACCAAAACAAAGAGCTATCTGACTCCCCACCAGGACCAACAGCCATCTCCCTCTCCCCACCAGGACCAACAGCCATCTCCCTACTCCCCACCAAAACCAACAGCTATCTGACTCCCTCCCCTCTCCCTACCAGGACCAACAGCCATCTCCCTCACTCCCACCAGGACCAACAGCTATCTGGACTCACTCCCACAGGACCCAACAGCCAACAGACTCCCACCCCACCAGGACCAACAGCTATCTGACTCTCCCCACCAACAGCCATCAGGACCAACAGGACCAACAGCTATCTGACTCCCCACCAGGACCAACAGCCATCTGCCTTACTCCCACCAGGACCAACAGCTATCTGACTCCCCCACCAGGACCAACAGCCATCTACCTCAAAACAGCAGCCATCTGACTCACTCCCACCAGAAACAACAGCCATCTTCCTACGTCCACCTGGACCAACAGACATCTGACTCACTCCCACCAGAAACAACAGCCATCTGACTCCCACACCAGGACCAACAGCCATCTGGTATATTAGTCCCCTATCAATTAACTCTTGTCATCAGCATCCCCCAAGACAGTAGTCTTCCACCCCTGCCAGTCAGTACTCACCCTCATGGCAGTAAGGAAGTCCATCAGGCGATACTTCTCCTTAAGGATGCGGACCAGTTCTGCACACACCACATGATATCTGCGAAGTATGTGTGGGTACAGACACTCCTGGAGCAGCATCTCAACTGGTTGTAGGTTCTCAGACTTTAGCCCCCGCAGTAACCTATCACAGCCAAGGGTATAGTCTAAAATTATGCCGTAAGAGTAGCAAATGATCACAAGCAGTCGACTTTATTTCTTAACATGACAATACCCAATTATGACATTAAATAACCTATATAAATACTATAGGATTTATACAAACCTGTAGAGGTTATGAATTCTTTGAAGAAAGTCCTCCTTGGGGTACATATAAGCATTAAAATGTCCATCTTAAATCCTACTTACAGTTGTAACTATATTTTTCAAAATATATTCACAAAACAAAAACTTGTTTTGTCTTGTGAGACCACCCCCTACAGCCAAAAGCAGGTAACTCTCGCCGTCTACCTCGTACCTCACTTTTAATGCTGAACGTATCAGACAGAATGAGGGGAGGTGGTGGGAGTCAGACTTCAAGGAGGACTTTCTTCAAAGAATTCATAACCTCTACAGGTTTGTATAATTCTTTTTCAGAAGAAGTCCTCCTTGGGGTACATATAAGCATAAGACAGACTCCCAAAGATATTTGAGCCGGGTGTGGCATTCTGTCTGGCAACAACTAAACCCGTGGTGGAGTGAAATCTACAACCGATACGGAAATAGAAAAAACACACTTACCGAGCCACCTGACAGCTGATGTCAATCAGGCGGGGGCGTGACTAGGGCGGGAAATAGAGAGCCCAAGCTTATACGTCAATTGGCTCAATTCAATTATGACATAAAACCCCACCCCCAACCATTACAATGGAAAGGAATGTATGGGGACATGCCGAAACTACTCCCAAGCCTAATGTAGCCTGAACCAGCGAAGCGAGGCGAGAGGTATAAGGGTAGGGAAAGCGTAAAAAAGCTTAAAAGCCAATAACCCAGGAGTCGAGCTAATAAGTACTGCAAACTAATGCTCGAATGCACCCCTGTTTGGAAGAGGGCTTTGCCAGGATCTCAATAAAACCCAGAGAAATTATTAGCCTCGCTAAAACTTTCTGAGGAAATCGAACAAGTACAAACGCCATTGTATGAGTGAAAAGCAGGATAAAACACCCCCACCAAACGCACTCGGCGCGAGGAGGGTAAGTGTAAACCAAACCGAGCACGATCCTTAGAATGCGTATCAAGTCGGTAATGTCGAATGAAGGTGTTCTGTCGGCTCCAAAGAGCAACATAACCGATCTCTTCATTGAGCAGTCCCGCTGTGTATTGCCAACAAAGCGGCATCTGCCCTACCAAGTCTGCTTTCAACCCCTTGGGGGAAGGAAAACCATAGCATTGTAACCGAACAATTACGGAAACAAGCCAACGAGATAAAGTCCACTTGCTAGCAGACTCCCCAGTCTTCCCGCCACCAAACAGAACACATGGGTACCCGTACAGATCCCTTTCGTTCGTTATAGTCACTCCAACGGGTGAGCAATCGAAAGATCGGTCCCTGGTGTGGAAGGCTGGGTAAGGGGTGGAAGATCGATATGAGCAGTCACGTGGAAAGCAATATCGATCTGAAAGTGGTAGGTATCCGGGAGGCGAATACGGACATGATCAGTATAAAAAACTGTCAGTGTCGGGTCAGTGGGTATCGCATGGATGTACCCGACCCTTCTACCAGAGCTCACCACCACAAGTAAAGCCGTCTTCCACGTCAACAAGTGAAGTGAGAGAGACGATATACTTGAAAAGTCAGGGCCAGACAGCCAATTGAGAATAATTGGCAATTTCAAGGTTGGCTGGGTCGCCGCCAAGGCGGTCAAACCCTGTTCATGCCAGCTACGAGCTGTGCACGAGGGTGTTGTGTTACCTGAGGGTGTCGGGGTGTTCTACCCTTTCTCCCTAGGCAATCTGTCTAGCCACTCTGGTTCTGGGGATGATGTAGCTAAGATGGATAGTCAAAGATAAGTCCGGTATGGTGTTCAAGTCCATTTATTTTGGAATGTATTCTTTCACAAAGGTCCTCAGATATTGCCTAGCTTTCCTGGTCTACACACAACACAGATGCACAAACTTCATGGAAGAACTTGTTGGTTTCTTGCACAACTCCTAAAGTTACTAGTTCATCTGAGCCATTCTCTCAATATACAGAGAGAACCTCTCAAGTCAACGGTGGGGCCCAGAATCGCTTCTGTTCCCCTCGAAAATGTGAGAAAAGTCTTCTTTGACAATTTTGGCTCCTCCCCCCGAAATAATGTCCTACCTCATACCAAAATGACTCATATCCAATCTTAATAATTAGTTACTTTCATTAGTCCCTTTCGGAGACTTTATTTGGTACCATCAAATTCTTCCAGTGATAAAATGACATTGCTAGTTATCCTTAAACCATCCATCAACCAAACGTTGACATATCTAACTAATATCTCAGACTGGTAGGCGCCAAAAGATACTTAATCAAATCATTTCTGATCCTATGCGTGCCCCTTTATTGACAAACTGACCAAACTGACCATCTGTATCCCAAATGTCCATCCACCCAATTGTGTAGAAACACCAGTTTGAACCTTTCACTCTCATTTATGTCAATTCAGAGAAATTGTTATTCCCCAAGAAAAGTGAATCAATAACAGTTCGGTTAGCTTGGTCAATGCACTTTCCCAGTACATTCACCCTTCTTAACTTGATTTCAAATTTTCCTTAAATATTTATAAAATGCATATAATGTTTTCAACTCTAAATATCCTGGTTATAGTTGCCTAGGCAGAGCACCATCGAACGAGGTGTGAAACGTAGAAATAGCCATGGAGTACCCGGGAATGGTGGAGGTCATAAGGCTCTCAACCAAAACAAGGTTATAGTAACTCCAATATCCGAACTAAATCATGGGTCTCATCCTCAAACTCGCATCACCCCCAAGAAAGACCGGATCCTGCTTCGAGACGAGGTCTGACTTCGTGAGGCTGACAATTCGGCCCAGTTTCGTAAGCATAACCAACACTATCGTGAGGTTCCCAGACTCAACTGTTATTCTAAAACCCAGATGAGCCAGTCGCCTAGGTACGGGTGAGAACACCGGCACTGCAATCTGGCTATCTGGGCTGTAATAAACCTCAATTTGGTGAACACCCTTGGCGCCATAATGTAGCCTAAGGAGCACACGAAACTGGTAGCACATCCGGTCGAAGAAGAACCGAAGGTAAATCTTGAAATCTGGGTGCAATGGAACAAGGAGGTACGCTACCTCAAGGTCAATTGACGTGCGCCAATCCCGTCTTGACAGATGAGATCACCGAGCGGAGTGTCTCCATCTTGAAGTACAGTACTCTATCAAAGTAGCGAAAAGAGCCGAAATCGACTTGTCCACTGTACGAGCCTGAACCCCGGTTCCGAGGCACATGAGAGGCACCTGATAAATCAAGGTGCCCCAAGCACTCAGACAGACCTTGGAGCGTCGAGGTGACCGACACACCCGGTACACTCGATAGCTTCAGGCCGAGACCTAACTACAGGCGCCAGGAATCTGTGCTCTACCAGTGCCGAAGCCCGGGTCAGTGCTACTCAGGGGGTTCAGAGCATCCGTGGAGCCGAAGCTCGGCGGTTCGAGACCGAACCCCGATCCTGAGACACGTAGGAGTAGCCTGATAAATCAGGGTTCCCCTAGTAGTGTCTCCAAAAGCGCACTGAGCATATAGTCAAACATAGCCTATAGCACTATATAACTACCCATACACATATATATATATAAGTGCTCGGATCAGCGGTTCCAGTTCGAACAACGATCCCAAAACACCTGGGAGTAGCCTGACAATGCAGGGTTCCCCTGGTGTACACGGGTAGATCTCGGTGCTTTGAGGTGATCGGTAGCTCCATCACACTCAACAGCCTCTTGGCAAGGGCATCGATAGACATCAGGCCGAGACCTGAGCTAACAGCGACGGGGATCTGCTCCGTACCGGGGCCGAAGCCCAGGTCGGTGTTAGTCCGACCCCGGTCCCGATACACATGGGTGTAGCCTGGCAATGCAGGGTTCCCCTGGTGTACACGGGTAGACCTCGGAGCGTCGAGGTGATTGGCAGCTCGGTAGCTCCATCACACTCAGCAGCCTCCTGGTCTGGGCATCAATAGACATCAGGCCGAGACCTGAGCTACCGGCGCCATGGATCTGCGCCGTACCGGGGCCGGCCCGGTCGGTGCTAGTCCCCAGGTTCAGAGCGTCCCCAGAGCCGGAGCTCGGGTCCGATTGTCCCCGGGTGGTCAGACCCTTCCCGGAGCCGGAGCTCGGGTCGGAACCTCCCCCAAATGATGCGCCAGTGCAATCTCTACCCGTAGACTGGGTACCAATCTCCTCTCGGAGTCTGGAAACCACGTCTGAGATAAGCATGTGCACTGATGATCTCCGCTGCTGCTATAAGTAAGAAATCAATAAAGGGATTTCCTTAGAAACCTTTCCTCAAATATTATCCCCCGCCTGAAGCAGATTAGTGAAAAACATAAAATCTGCGTGCCTGAAAGAATGCGTGTGAGGCACAGAAACCCAGGCAAAAGACACAACCTCGGACACCATGAGCCATGTTGTGTGTAAACGTAAATAATGTGTATATGTGTAACATAACACAACATAATGTAACAGGAATATTGACGCAAGGGCTCTTATTATGAACATCCTTGATTGTCGTGAGCGTCCTCGACTAAACAGCGGAGGCACACCTTATGACCATCCTGTGGCAGTAGTGTGGCACTGCATGATGCACAGGGCTTAAACTGCAACAAACAGAACCACGCCAGTGTTACTAGCAGGAACTGTGAAGCAGCAAACATATAAACACAAGTAAATAGCCATAAATAAACGCACGGGCGATATTTAAATGCTACAAGCTACAGCCATTTAAATACTAAACATAAAATGCAAAGCAGAAAAAAGGCTAGCCGCACCTGCGTGTACATACTAGTGAGTAAAGTTGAGTGAAACCCTATCAAAATTACTCAACAACAACTTACCACATATTTGCTGAAAAGAGAGAGAATTTAGGCAAGCCTACCATAAAGTATGCAAACATAATTTATGAACTCCCTACTACAAGCTACCAAGAACATGTAGCAAGGAAACCACGATCACGCAGTTCGCCATTTTGCCTGCCACAAGAACCCACGGCAAAGTTACAACAAAAGATGAATGAGAATATCAATATATGAAGTCCATCTAATACCCATGCGTAAAGAAAGGAACCATACATACAGATTGAGACTCTTTTACACTCATCATATCGGTAGGAGCTCCAAACTCGAAATGAACACCACGCACGTCTATTCAACAGAACAACAGCATGAAAAGTGAGGTACGAGGTAAACGGCAAGAGTTACCTGCTCTTGGCTGTAGGGGGCCCGGTGGGGCCCTGTAGGGGTGGTCTCACAAGAGAAAACGAGCTTTTTGTTTTGTAAATATTTTATTGAAAAATATAGTTACAACTGTTGTAGGATTTAAAATGGACATTTTAATGCTTATATGTACCCCAAGGAAGACTTCTTCTGAAAAAGAATCAAGGGATTCCTGGGATCGTGAATAATACAAAATCTTCAACATAAGTGCACAATATGGTATTAGGCTACACAGAATCATAATAATAATAATACCGGCCACATATGATAAACCGGACTCCAATCACCAAGTTAATGCCTATTGTGATACATGTTGGAGCAGGTAATGCTACCACTGTCGGAAGGTGTGGGTGGGATCAACACTGTGTAGTATTGTGTAAAAGGTAGTTTAAATGTGCCTTGAATGATGGGTGTCATAGTAACAGGTTCAACTCTGCTGGTAGATTGTTCCAAAAGTTGAAGCACTGTGTTTGAAATATCTAAAGCTATAATTCTTCAAGCCAGTTTCTGGAACTTCCACCAGGTAGTCACTTTCAGAACATGGGGATCTAGATGGCTTTGCATTCATAACCTATCTGCTCTGTATTTCTCAAACCCACAGCCACATTGTGAAGAGGTCTTCCTCACCTCAGCTCCCTGTGCTCCTCAGATTCAACTGGGCCCACATGCAGATAGCCGAACACTGTCTCAAAGTTAATTCTCAGCAGAGGATCATAGACACCAAGTCCCCTCATCTGTTGTTCAATCTGTGGAGTCAGGACTGGCGTAGACACAGTTGTCTCCCTTTTCCCATTCTGTGATTTACCAGCTGCTGGTGACTTGGACCCAAGGGTCTTCTCCAATGATTTCATAAACGTGTCGTATAGTGATTCTGGTTTACCTGCAGCAAGAAACATATAACATACAATGAAAATAATATTGAATAGTATTCAAGAAAAATAAATAAAATGTCATTTTAATATTGATAGATACTTCGATTCGTGAGTGAGTGTATACGAGTAACATAGTCAAAGACTGAGAGTCTATGAAAACTAAGTATCGCCGCATACATCCAGAAAATCAGAAAATATCTAATCAAACAAACTAGCTACATTCCTTTTCCTAGACACATACCATCTTTATTTCCTATGACTTGGAATAACTGTCCCAAGTGTTCAAGCACTTCCATGGATTTTCCTGTTAACACAATATCCTTGACAACTGGCTGAAGGAACTTGGGAGCCCAGGCTGTTGCCACGGAAACCTGCTCATGCTCTGGAAACTGGGCAATAGTTGTGCTGAGCACACTGGAGTTTGGTGAACTCTTGGGCATGTGGAGAACAAAAGCATTCTCCCAGAAGGTCTCATCTACTGACTTTACATTGTCATTTCTGGAAGAAATATTAGTACATGTAAGTCTCAGCATTTCAGTTTACAAAGGTTGGCTGCGAATACACTGAACAGAGAACTAGACCAATTGTGCATGCAGATGCAAATACAGCATAGTTTAAGTCAATCTGTCCCCAGTACGACGAAGCATTGTTACTTCAATAAGAGGCCACTCTGCCCATCTCAAGGCATGCTTAACACTGACTTAAATTGTTGGCCTTTTGAAAGATCTTGCTTGCAAAGTCAATACTGTTCAAAGCTTGAACAAACATTAAACCTACAAACAGTGGCTGTGGTCACCTGTCAGAACATGTTCTACCTAGGCTTGGCCAGTACTTACCTCTGAACAACAAACTCATTCATCGGGTCATTCAAGTGGCCATTGTTGATCCAGTCTCCAATGATCTGCAGATAGGGCTGAGACGTCTGCATCCACATCGGCAGTAACAGCATGATCTGCAATAAAGACATCACCAGATCAAAATGGATCCATACACAAATCAACAACAAAGATGACATATAATGAGTTAGAAGATAAACAATATCCCGTTTGATTGACAGCAAGTTGGTCTAACGCTGCTCTAAACAGTTATTCACAATTTCAGTTAAGTTACAGCATGTCAGCTAGATGTGGGTTGAAAGCCTGTAGTGAAACAGGCCCCAGACATTTACCAACCAGCACAGTGGTGAGAAACATATACTGGGAGTGAACACCACTAATGCATCATATTGAACACCCTACAACCAGTGACCTACCATGTCAGGAGTGAATTCTCCAAGTGAGTCATACTCTAGCACAGTGTTGTACAATACACTGAGGAGATGAGAAGCCTTGAGACTGTTGGTTGGGAGACTAGCAGCGGCTGCCACACCGTTGATATACAGGGAGTACACCAAGCTGATTTTCTGACTCCATGTGTGTAACTCCACCGACATCATTGATAGGGTCATGACCTCTTCTGAATACAAAACAAACTTTCACAATCTCTTTCCATTCTTGTTTTTTTTTATACTCCCATACAATCTTACATTGCAATCTTAACATCACAGAGGGCGGTGGGGTAGCCTAGTGGTTAAAGCGTCTGCTCGTCACACCAAAGACCGGGGTTCGATTCCTCACATGGGTACAATGTGTGAAGCTCATTTCTGGTGTCCCCCACCGTGATATTGCTGGAATATTGCTAAAAGCGGTGTAAAACCATACTCACTCACCGCTCACTTAACATCAGAGGATGTGTTCTGGCGATTAGGTGTCTGACTCTGAGGGTGTGCGTCCGAATCCCGGACGGGACTCAACCCATCAAAAGTACTAGAAACTGTAGTTTACTCAAGAAAGTGTAATCCCAAATATAACATATGTTACAGAGGACATGTACTTCATCTGAAATGATCTCATTGAGTTCCAGAGAAGGTGTAAGGGAATTGACTCCTTCAAAAGATGACGAACACAAACACCCACACTTAAAAAAAAGACACAGCACATCTATATTGTTTTCTGAAAAGGATAATTGTAAACCTAGTATTCATGCTGCCGACAGTATATATCCTGATTTGGAAGTCATCAATTAATAATAATCACCTACTACATAGTTTATCCCCACAACCATGTCCACTCACCATTCCTGATGATCCTTTTCTCTAGACCTGAGAGATAAGTTTGTAAGTCCTGCAGAAACTGGGACACTGTCTTAGTGAAAGCTTGGTAGGTCATGGGCACTGAGGTGAGATCTTGACCAAGGCAACTCTGGGACACAATCTCCTGAACAAAGGTCTGCAGAACCTGAACGTGGACCCCAAGCTTGCAGAACGGCTGAACCAAACTCTCTACACTCTCCTGAAAGGATGACAACGTCAGCTCGAGAAATCCAGATGTGAGACACTATCGAGAGGTTTTGTAGTAACTATCTAAACATCCATGAGAATAGCTATAGTACACTGATGATATTATGATACTAATTCCCCATTATAAATACTAGTACTCCCTGTTAGAAGTTTAGCTATTGTATGTGATATTGCCATGGTAACAGGGACATACACCTGTGACAAGTCACATACTTTGCAATAGAGGCGACTATGCTTGTGGAAATAAGCTCATTGACTTGGCATGTCATCACTGCCCAGTTGCATAGATAGATACTCATGAAGTCAGTCACCAGATTATTTGGTCCAGACTCAATTATGTACTAACTGCCATGATATAGCTGGAATGATGCTAAGTGTGGCGGAACAAACATGGAAATAAGGTGACACTTTATGTGAAAATATCCAGAACTTCTTGAACCTATGCACTAACCTTAGTAAGATGGGACACGGATATGTCGTCACGGAGAATGAAGCGGCCTCCTTTGTAGTGGAAGATGAACAGGTCAGCTACACCAGACATCATCCTGGACAATAAAATTAATCAAACAAAACCCAAACACGTGATGTAATGGCAAGCACATAATGCCAATCATGTGTCAATGTTTACAAATCTAACATCAATCATGTAATATCAAAGTTAACAGTGTTATGTAAGTCATGTAATGACAAAGTTGACCACGCAATAGCAAATGTCAATTAAATCAACAACATCCCATGTAAACGTCAAACATGTAAAGCAAAACATTTCATGTCTATCCTGTCAAAGATCACATAATGTCATTGTTTAATATGTAATGTCCATGTTGGCAATGTAATGTCAATAATGTCAAGAGAATCATACAATGTCAATCATGCCAAAACGATTGGATTTCCAAACAAATTTGTTTTGACTTACTATTTTTTGATCATGTAGACAGATGTCATTGTCATGTACACAAGTAGAAGTGTACAAGTTGTAAACAAATATAAATGTCAGTAACATAGCATTTTCTTAATCCATCATGACACGTTATTGACATGCATGTTTACAACTCACCACAACACTTCTCTCAAGACCTGGATCTCCGTGACAAAGGTGCGGCTCCCTTCACAGTACAGGGGGTTGGTGCGGGACTTGTACGACTCCCTCAAATACAAAACACAACAAATCAACATCAGGAATATTTTGCATTTCAGCTAAAGGAAAAGCAACATCACTTAAGACAAGATGACATCTAATTATATATCTGAATTCAGGACATATTTGCTCATTCCTGTAGAAAGGCTCATTTCATTGCCTATAGTGAGAGTGATTATGGGTAACTGCTTTATAATAATAATAATAATAATAAATGCATATTTATAATGCGCCCCTTCCACACCCTAAGGCATGCTCAAAGTGCTACAGAATATTTACACTGGAGTATTTACAGATGAAGTTATACATAATATACTGAGAAAAGGTGGGTTTTAAGTCTGGACTTAAAAATGTCAATTGTGGCAGAGCTTTTAAGGGCACATGGGAGAGAGTTCCAAATTGCTTTCAGCAATATTCCAGCACACATGGTTGGAAACATCAGATATTGGCTTCACACAGTACCCATAAGTGAAATAGAACCTGGACAGTTGGTATGACAAGTGAACACTATAACCACTAGACTACCTCTCCACCCTCCAGTGGCTAGAGAAACAGTGAGTGAGCAAATGGTATTTTTGACTGACCATAATCTACGAGGGGCTGAAAAGTGATTCCTGGAGTTAGGGCTTTATCAGACAGGCCATATATTCCAACAACTCAAAGCTCGTTATGACACATAGGGCATTAGGGTCCTGGTAGGAGTCATAGAGGTATCCTCCCAACACTTCTACAGATTTAAACAACAAACTATACGGACCAGTGCAATCCAAAAACAGATTTCTTGCCTCATCTCATCAATGGAACAACCTAACTAAACCTGAATTACTCTCCCAAAAAATTCTGCAACAGCATATCATAGATGAGGAATGGGATGCCCCTGGTGAAAAAATCAAACAATTTGTAAAACATGCTACCATTTTATTATGGTTAACAGAACATAGAACTGCTGAGGTAAGTCAAAAGCATGCATGGGAAAATACACAATCTTTGACTGAAGTACCCCTAACCAATGCCACAGTGCCATTCTAAGGAAAACTTACCAATCTCTCGCCAAGTTGGAACTGAAATGGTTGTCTATAGTATCCTCTTCACTTACTCCTGCCTTCCAATATTGCACCACTAGATTTTTCATTAACCAGTCATATCCTTTGTCTTCAACCACATCAGACTCATGTGTAACCAGCATAGATGTGTCCTGTGTTGCTGTGACAACAGCAGACTGAGTGACAACTGCGTCATTACTTTGTCGTTGAGACTGTTCATCCTCATCAGAATCAGACAAACTCTCATCATCTGAGGGGGTCTGCATAAAATAGGAGAATATAACACTAAACACATGTACAAATGTACCTGTAACCTGCTACATGACATAAAACACCTATGTCGAACTTTCTCCAGGAAATAAATGTAATTTTCTGACAACAATTGATATTTTATACTTATCCTGACTCATGCTAAATGCTTGTCTCCTTCTCCTTGCGAATGATAGTGGAACACTTGAAATGCCTTGAAGTTCCCTTCTTAAAAGCGGACGTAAAATCACCACTCACCCACGAGTTACCTCCCTTGCCTCCTTGGCTCCCTTTTGTTCACCTGACCGGCCATGTTTTGTCACTCTCTCCGTATGTATGCCCGACACCCAGATTTACAGGGAAATCCAGAGTGCCATAAGAGGGGAGGTTGGGAGGGCTTACCTCATGAGTCAGGATAAGTATAAAATATCAATTTTAGTCAGAAAATTACATATTTTTCCTTATCCTTACTCATGCTAAATGCATGCAGAATCTGTCGGAATCGGTGGTGGGTCAGGCCACTTTTGGATTCTCTGGCTGTTGATTTACGTCCTGTATTACCCCCCATGGGAACTTATGACGGCACTGCTGATGATTCTGTTCTTTCAACTTCCTCTGATGAGTCTGGGGGGGAACCACAACTTGTCAGATTTCTTCCGAAACTTCTCCTTACATTTTCGTGTGGATTTTTAGATATACTAATGTTCCATTAGTTATCTTTTGCAACTCCATCTCTAGATGCGTGCATGAAGTGGAGATGCGACCCTTCTTCATGTACGAGTATGTACTATACAAGTACAGGGTCTATCACTCATGCTAGCCTGTCCTAGACGTGTGCATGGACTTTAACCATTTGCTCTCCAGAGCGTTGGTTTTAACAAGTCATGTGATAAAAGGGTGAGATTTTCCTCAGCGCCTTTGTGGAACCGTTAGTTGTTGTGCTACAACAAGTGAATACCTGAGACGTCTTCGGTGGCAATGTCTCTGAGGTAGTGGTTGGCAAACACTGTGTCCGATTTCCAAAAGCAGCCCTCCATTATTGTTGTAATCGAGCAGTTTCCATGCAGAGCAAGTGTAGACGCCAGGGCTCTGTCTTCATGGGGATTGGAGGCTCGTGGAGGCTCAAGTCCTGCTGCTTTGTAGGCCTTAGTATAATGGCTCTCATCCATATCGATATCGTTGTCCGTGAGACTTTCGTGGGCATCTCAGTGGATAAGGGGATGAATAGGCTCCCTGTTTTTGTCCTTTGTAGGTAGACTTTTAGTGCTCTGACAGGGCATAAGGATAGATCCTGTGTATCCTGTGGCCCAAGGACTGTAGAGAGTGCTTGGATGTGGAACTGTCTGTAAGGCTGGCCAGGCAGTTGGTTCTTGGCAATAAAATCCCATCTCAGTCCTAGATGTACGATGTCACGATGTCTTGATCGTGTTCGTTCAAAGTCCAGAGCATGTATTTCTGAGCATGTATTTCCGTGCTGCTGTTGCTAGTGCAACCAGGAACAGCGTTTTTTCTGAGTCAGTAGTTCAAAGGATGTCCGTTCTAGAGGCTCGTAGGCATCAGTGGTGAGATGTTGTAGAACTATGTTGAGATCCCAGGAAGGAGCCTTGAATCCAACTTGAACGAGCGTAGTAGTGCCAGTATCTCTGGTACTTTGGTCAGCTTGACACCCGTCTTCATGGTGATAACTGTGCTGAGAGCAGCCAGGTACGTTGAGAGTGTTGAACCTTTTAAGTGTCTTGTCGCAGATGACACAGGTATTCCGCCACTTGAGGATGGGTTGCTTTTACTGCTGTAAAGCCTTTCCTCATTGCATACTGTTCAAATCTCTGCCACTTGTCGTCGTACTAGTTGCGAGTTGATCTGCGTAGAGCTAGTGTTACCGCTTTAAAGCTGCTCTGGCGCTTTACCTAGTCTTCTGGCAAGCTTTGATACGCCCACGCGTAGCTGGAACAATGCCGGATTCCCATGAGCTTGCTTGGTGTGTGGATGGACGAGCAGGTTCGACCACTCTGGTAGTTTCAGGGTTGGACTTCCGAAGTTCTTGTGTGAGGACAGGAAACCATACCCTGGCCAATAGGGCTCGCTGGCCAATATTACTTGTGGTAGCAGTGCAAAAGCCGCTTAGTCAGAGATGCTTAAAGCTGTGTTGCCTGCTTGATTTTCTGTATTACTTGTTGGTAGTAGTGCTGAACTTTGATCATACTTTTAGGTCATTTCTATAGTCCTGTTGTCCGCCATGACTTCAACCGTAAAACTTCTGGTCTACCAAACCACGAGGATGACAGGGCGCCTGCTATGACATTCTTTGCTCCTGGAATGTGGCATGCCTTCATGTAGATGTTCAGGTCGTCGACGATGCTGAACAGAAGAAAGCTGAGTTGTAGCAGACTTGTTGATCTTGTTGATCCTTGTTTGTTGATGTAGAACGCCACTGTGGAGTTGTCCGTGTGGACCATAAGCCTTGCGTTCTTTAGTATGCTGGTCCAGTGTTGTAAAGCATTGATCACTGCTTTCATCTCCAACAGGTTGATGTGCAGACTCTGATCCTGACTCGACCACTTCCCTGTTGCCACTTCGTTGTCGAGGTGGGCACCCCATCCTTGTAGCGATGCATCTACATAGAGATGAGTGTTGCAAATCGGCTATGACAAAAAGGTTCCTCCGCAAACATTCGACTTCCGAGTCCACTATAGGAGGTATGGTTTCAGGCTGTCCGGTAGAATCAGCGGATCCAGACTGTCGAGATGGGCGTTCACAAATATTTGTAGTGGGCGCAGTTGTAGTCTCCCTCTGCAAGTCATGTCTTGATCTGAGGTGAGTAGACCGAGCATGCTTTGCCAAGCACGTAGTGTCAACGGAAAGAGCATTGCTTGAGATATCATATGTTGTATCTTGACCCAACAATCCTCTGGGACGAATATGCGATTCACCGGCGTGATGAGTCGTATTCCTAGAAATTGAAGATCTTGTTTCGGCTCCAGTTCCGACTTGAGGAGATTTACCAGCCATCCTAACTGAGTGAGAAGCCTGACGGTGAAGTATAGTTGCAGTCTGAGTTGACTGGGATCTTGATGAACTTGAATTCCCTCGTCCAGGTAAAAAGCACTGCATAAACCTAGACGATGTAGATATGTGACGATGGGCTTGGTCACTCGAATAAACAACCAGGGGGCCGACGATATTCCAAACGGTAGAACCTTCCACCGGAAGTGATGTCCGTTGAAAAGGAATCTTAGGTATTTCCTTGAGTCTGATGTATCGGGATGTGTAGGTACACATGTTGTAGATCTATGCTGGCGCAGGTAGTCTGATGGACTTAACGAGATGTCGGAGCTGAGGAAGATGTATCATCTTGAATTTTGCTGGTCTGCGAAGGTACTCCTGGTTGAACTTCCTCATGTTGTAGATGAGCCAAAACTTCTCCTTGGAATTCTTCTTCGGTACCAGGAAAATTGGGAATTAAAAACCGGGCGTGATGAGATCTTGATTTATCTCTTCTACTGCATCTTCGTCGAGTAGAGTCTCGATTAAGGCCATCCAGTTTCTCTGTCTGGTCGGCTGCTGCGATCTGAAGGCCATCGGGTTGCTTGTAAGCCGCTGGGTGGCTTCCAACTGTATCTTGTACCCTCTGCATAGTATCTGGGATAGGTAATCGTCCTATAGTCTTCCCCAATTCTCCCAGTACCGTTGAAGATGTCCACGCACTGTCGAACGTTGTACAGGAACGTCTGGGGATGGAAGACTCCACTCTTCCCAAACCTGTCCGTCAGCACTTGGTTCCCCGGCACCCCTGGGTGCTCGGACTCTTCGGGGGTTACTTCTCGGGACTCCGGTTAGGAAACGAAAAGAACCTCTTCCTCCTCTTGAGCTGGAATACTTCTTTTCTCTGGCTCTCTGGACTCCTGCAATCTTGGATTTGTTGGAGTAGCGCTGGGACGTCTGGCAAATAATGACTTGCCTTGATTCATGTGTAACCTCTTTGGCGACTTCTTCAATCCCTCCTCCAAAGATGGATGATGCTGACCATGGGGCTCTGTATAAGGACTTGGTGAACCACTCACTCCAGGTGCACGATGACAATAATCCTTGTCTCCTCAGGAGAGTCAGGCCTGCTGATGTGGATGCTAGATGCTCCGACATAAATTGGTGGTCCTTTTTCTGAGTCAGTAGCGCAGAATATATCATCCGGTCATCTTCGTCGGTGGAGTTCTTGAACTTCGAGATGAGTGCTTCGTTGATAGCCCTAGATCAGGCTAGTCCGAAGAAGGTACGTCTAGTAGTCGTATCCAGTTGTGCTAACTTCTTGTCGTCTATCTTGTAATTCCTATAGCGGGAGTCGTTGATGATCTTGTAGTCCTCATCATTCTGGTGCCTTCAGGAAGGGTTCCATGTGATGTAAGGGTAATTTCCTGGCGTTGATCGTCGGGATATGCTGATTCTGGAACTTGGTAGCCTTATCAAAGGCTGAGCTGAGGCTGTCCGGTACTTGGGAGATCGGGTCGATAGGCGGAAAGGTGAGTGTGTCGAAATCATCGTTAGACATCTTGTATATAAACGCTTCGTCTATGTCCTTGGAAGGTGATGCTAGGTCCAGGCCATTAGCAATCCATGAGGTTACTTCCGTATCGGAGAATATGACTTCACCTTCTTCCTCTGATTTAGACATCTCCCGCTCTGATGATCCACGACGACGTGAGTCTCTGTGTGAAGATCTGTATGACGAACTGCGCACAGGTGAATGATCCCGATGTGATCGTGTATCCTTCCTGGAGTCTTGAGATCTTTCTCTAGGTCTTCGTGAAGGTTGATTCTTAGACGTAGTCTCCCCTCTGTAAGATGTGGAGTGCCTGCGCGCAGGTTCCCGATGTGCATCTGAGTCCGATGGTGATGACGACCCGTATCTACGACGTCTGTAGGGTTCGGGAGAACGCTTCAACCTGCTTCTGCGTGGAGAATCCTTAGCGGTTCCTTCAGGGACGTCTAAGGCTTAGCTGACGTTGGTAACGTTGTCTAGGCTCCTAACTTCAGATGGCGAAGATCGTCAGGTGCGTGAGCCTTCACGCAGGCTTCAGTCTTCTTCCGCGCTTGGAGAGACTGCTGAATCTTCACGCAGGCTAGTAGTCATCGTGAGTGGTCTTAGTAGCAGCTTTCTCCCGCGCCGGGTTTACGCTTCATCATCGACATCATCTGGTCTGTAAACTGTTGCATGAACAGTCCCGGGTTGAAGTTTTGCGATGTCTGAAGAAACTGCTGCAGGGATGATGATGCTTCTGACAACGATGAGGCATCTCCTAAGGTACGCTGCACTTGTAAGAGTTGACGCTGCTGCTATCTCTGGTACCCGATGTCTGCGTTGATAGAAGGTCTTCTGTCAATGTCTGCGCTGATAAAGTTGCCGATGTAGCTGTAGAAGCAGGCTTCGTCTTCTTGCTGACAACTGTGAATTCAGGTATGAGGATAGGGGGATCATCATACACATCTGCTTCTTCCGGAGGTACAATCTCGGCAGAAAAGGATCTCGTCTTCTGCGTAAAGCTGTGTAGAGACTTCGACGAAGTCTTAGGGGTAGTAACCTTCTTCTTCTGCGTTGAAGATCTAGTCTTCTTCGTCTGCGAAGAGGTCAGCTCCGTTGACCATGATCTCTAATAGCCCCGGGTTCATCACTGGCACAGCGACCTGCCCCCGTAAAACACTCGGCAATTCATTGGAATTATGATCATCGGCAGCAGTAGTTAACAAACGGTTATCAGCACAATCTCTCGATTTAGACATGACTTGTGAATACCTTCTTACCCAGTCCTTTGCACGTCTATGAATGAACAAAAAGGTAGTTGTTAAATTGAAAAGTGGTTAAATCCAGACAATGTTTACAACGAGAGCTGAAAGAACATGAAGTAGTGCAATCAGGACATAATATATGTGGGTCAGCCGCAGACAGTCGGTACCTACAACGAACACAAGTTTTCATCAAATGTAAACACCATGAAAAAACATGTCAAACAACGTATAATTTAGATTAAATTTCAAACCATATAGTAGAATACAATCGTAAAAGCCGTATACAACAATAATTTTGATGTAAGGTCCAAAATAGAAAATGATATGTGCCGTATAGGGACCCAGGTGCTCTCACAACCATCCTCATGGGCAAAGAAGGAGAGAGTGATAAAACATGGCCGGTCAGGTGACCAAAAAGGCGCCAAGGAGGCAAGGGAGGTAACTCGTAGGTGAGTGGTGATTTTACGTCCGCTTTTTAGAAGGGATCTTCAAGGGATTTCAAGTGTTCCACTATCATCCGCAAGGAGAAGGAGACAAGCATTTAGCATGAGTCAGGATAAGGAAAAATTAACCCTATCTAGATAGGGATAACAGTGAGCTTTAACAAGATATGCATTGTACTGTGACCAGCGTATCAAGATATGCATCTTATTGTGACCTGTGCATTGAGATATGCATTGTATTGTGAACAGTGAATCAAGATATGCATTGTACTGACCCGTGAAGATCCAGGTTAGAATTGATCTTCAGTAACCCATGATTGTCGTAAGAGGTGACTAACGGGATCGGATGGTCAGTCTCGCTGACTGGGTTGACACATGTCATTGTATCCCAGATGCGTAGATCGATGTTCATGCTGTTGATCCCTGGATTGTCTGGTCCAGACTCGATTATTTACAGACCACCACCATATAGCTGGAATATTGCTGAGTGTGGTGTAAAACTAAATAAATCACTCACTCACTCACTACATTGTACTGTGACCAGTGCATCGAGGCATGCATTTTATTATGACCTGTGCATCGAGATATGCATCATGTTGTGACCAGTGTATGGAGATATGCATCATATTGTGACCAGTATATGGAGATATGCATCATATTGTGACCAGTACATGGAGATATGCATCATATTGTGACCAGTGTATGGAGATATGCATCATATTAGGACCAGTATATGGAGATATGCATCATATTGTGACCAGTGTATCAAGGTATGCATCATGTTGTGACCAGTTTATGGAGATGTGCATCATATTGTGACCAGTATATGGATATATGCATCATATTGTGACCAGTGTATGGAGATATGCATCATATTGTGACCAGTGTGTGGAGATATGCATCATATTGTGACCAGTGTATGGAGATATGCATCATATTGTGACCAGTGTGTGGAGATATGCATCATATTGTGACCAGTGTATGGAGATATGCATCATATTGTGACCATATATGGAGATATGCATCATATTGTGACCAGTTTGTGGAGATATGCATCATATCGTGACATCATATATGGAGATATGCATCATATTGTGACCAGTGTATGGAGATATGCATCATATTGTGACCAGTTTGTGGAGATATGCATCATCGTGACCATATATGTGCATCATATTGTGACCAGTGTATGGAGATATGCATCATATTGTGACCAGTATATGGAGATATGCATCATATTGTGACCAGTGTAGGAGATATGCATCATATTGGAGATATGCATCATCATATTGTGACCAGTGTATGGAGATATGCATCATATTGTGACCAGTGTATGGAGATATGCATCATATTGTGACCAGTATATATGCATCATATTGTGAGATATGGATATGCATCATATTGTGACCAGTGTGTGGAGATATGTATCATATCGTAACCTACATGGAGATATGCATCATATTGTGACCAGTGTATGGAGATATGCATCATATTGTGACCAGTGTATCAAGGTATGCATCATATCGTGACCAGTATACGGAGATACATACCCACCACATCATTGCACCACTAGTACATACATCATTTTTCAAATGGGACATTCTAAACATTACATATTGAACATGAGTCCAGGAAAATGAGAAGTCTTCACCAATATTTTAACACAGCCAAGAATGGGTTTCCACTATCAAGTGAGTGACATTCACTGGTATTATCATTCCACATAGTACAGATTCAGAAGTCGATTTATTTCCCAGCATAAAGCAAAGATGGTTACCGGAGAATCTGCATATAATCCTCGATACACATCCTCTCCATCCAACAGGTGAGCAGACCAGTCAAAGTCATCTACAGGTTCTGAAATCAAAGCAAAGCTGTTGCTTTGTAGAGCTTGCAAACAATATCCAGTCACCAGTGTGAGGTGAGTGAATGACTGAGTGAGTGTGGCTCTGAATAGGTATGTGGGGGGCATTTTGGCCACAAGTTGCATTCAGCAATATGTCAGCCATATGACAACGACCTGGAAATAATCAAGTCCAGACAAGACAATATTTATATTTTAAAATGTGAGGAATGACCCACGAGCACACTACAAAATCAATACTGTTTAAGGCGAAATTTGTTTTCCAAGGATGAGGGCTCTTCAAGAAAAGACCATAGAATTCAAGGCCTTTTCAAATCTGTTCGAACAGCGAACCAAGTCACTGACCCTGATGTCTCGTTTCCATATAGTTGCCTCTTTCAACCATCACAGGTTGCTAAAGAGCAATTCTAAACTGGCAAATAACGGTGCTGTGAAAACAGGAACATTACAGTTCACTTTCCATGGAAACATCCTTGGTTTAATGATTGCACCACTCAGACTATGACAATACCCAACCCGTTGCTGGAGTGAGCTTTGATAGTGTGCTGCATGGGAGTCACTGAAGTGGTACACAACCTGTCAGCTCTCATGCCATACTATGAGTGAGCCTGTTAACATCTGCATTAGGCTCAACTCACACTATGTGAGGTAAGGTGGGGAGGTGATATGGGGTTTACACTGCGTACAAGATTATTGCTCATACATAGAGATGTTCACGCATTAATCATATAATGCCTGTTGGTATTATGTGTACAAGCATTGAACCATCAACCTTCTGCCCTTTGACCACAATATCCACTAAATAGGGCTGTGCAATATAACCGGTTTACCGGTGTTTAATGGTTCAGACATGACAGCGATATGTATTGCGATACGTATTTTGACCTGCATTTGGAAAACTTCGTAACACTCGGGAGTCTTAGGATATTTCCTTGTTTCATTTGTGCCAAATATTATTTACATTTATATTTAGTCATGATTAAAAGTTTTTATTAAAGCTTAATCAGCCATAGTGATTTTGTTGTGTTCATGCTTTATAAATCAAGCATTAACTCGATTATAAGTAGTTTTTTGTATAAAAATACTCTTTTCAATATATGCTTTCGCATCGCAATATGAAAATTCTCTGCAATACCCACCCCTACCACTAAAGAGGGAATGCATTAAGTGAAAGTTGGACTCACCATCCTCACGATGGGGCAGAGTAAGCCTAAAGTCAGCTGCCGTGGGGTGGTCCGCCAACAGGAACAACAGGTACAGGATAGAGTAGTGTGTATCAGTCTGCAAGCAAACTCAACAGTTACCATGGTTACTAAATCACATTAAAACATTAACACCCGTTTAGTAGCCACAAAAAAAAGAGTTCATTACCATGATTACACATTTCTGTTGAAAACAGTACTTGCCTTTTGGCAGAAATGACGACTCAAATATGGGCAATATCAGAGACAGGGGAAGTACCCTGACTAATGATACGTCCATTCCAATCAGTAACAGTGGGAATGTTCAAAATGGGCCTCTGTGCTCCTTAAAGGCTGCTGCCGTAATATTTGAATCAAAGGATCATCTATATGTTTAACATTAGCATTATGCCAAGGATCCACTGAGTTTCATGATTAATTCTAAACACTGATTCTGTTTGTTACTTAACGCCACACTATTCCAGCTATATGGCAGCGGTCTGTAAATAATTGAGTCTGGATCAGACAATCCAGTGATCAGCATCACAAGCATTGATCTACGCATTTGGTATACGATGACGTGTGTCAGTCAACCAAGTCAGTGAGCCAGCCTACCCAATCCCATAAAACGCCTCTTACGACAAGCATGGGTTGCTGAACACCAATTCAAACCCAGATCTTCATGGGTTTGAACACTGATGCAACAGAAACAAATGTCAGATACTTAACTATGGAAATGTACCCTAGACAAAATCAGATTCAAGAAGTATATGTAGTGTAATAGTTGGCAGTTGTCAAGCACTAAAGCCACTGGGCGCGTTCCTCTGCAGACTTCCTGTAATGCCAAACTGTGGCTCAATCAATCATGGCAATATGTATTTTAGGAATTACATCCATTAGCTAAGTGACACTGGTATAATCCACTGGGATATAAACCCTTGAGCATGTTTAGTGCCAGGCAGTTGCTTGGGTACATTTCAGTACAGAGTTGTTACATATTACTAACAATGGTAACCAATGGTAACATGGTAATCAATGGTAATCGAATACATCAATACCTTGCCATCATTCTTGTCTTCAAATATTGGACTATTCAAGAAATCTTCAGTCAGCAGAGTCAGAGCTTTAGCTTTCTCAGTCTCTGAATGTACTTCAAACTTTGTACGCATTCTACAAACAAATGACATCAGGAAGATTATAGAACTCACTGAACATGTACAACTTAAATATGTTCCCTCCAGATCAATGAAGATATAGCAATTGCACATTGATTGATACACAGATGTATGAATTTGTTGTTAGAACACACGTTACACAAAATGCGAATGATATTTAAGACCTAACACCATCAAATTCAAAATGAATTTTCTAACCTTTTTTACTTATAACACTAACAACTCTGAACTGTATAATGTTTATCTTCTAAATAAAATTCACATTTTCTATATGGACTCAATTGCCCTCAAAACAAATTGAGCATACTGTCAACTAAATCAAAGGCTTTCTGAGAAATACTGATCAAACATAAAAACATGACCATGACAGCTGGTAAGAAATATTAATCCAGAGAACTATTGATAGCAAGTAACATTAATCCATACAATAATATAATGAGGAAAAAAAATAAGGGATCACATGACAGCACAAGTGTTCCCTTATTTTTTTCCAGGTTTCTAAAAAAATAAAAGAACACTTGTCCTTTCATGTGATCCCTTATTTTTTTCCCTCAGTATATTTAACCTGGAAACATGTTAATCCAGGTATGCCACAATCTGTAATGTCAGATACAGCATGTTTAGAGGCGTATTACCCATCTAAGGCTCTTGTCACTTTGTGACTGTCCACATCTAGAAATCGGTGAAATTTAAAGTTTGATGTTGCAAACTGCTGACAGAGTCGAAAGTTTTCCTCTCCATCCTGAAAGGAGATAGTAACATATTGAAAATAATCATAAGACAATGTTGTTTAATTCCCAGTCAACAATATCGCAGGTATGTGGTTAAACAAAAAGACAAAGGCATCAATATCCCCCGCAATGGCAAAATACTCTTCATGAATATGTCCATGTCTACTAGTTATGATTATGTCAAATGTTTTGGCATGTATATAGCAAAGTGGAAGAAGAGTAATGAAAGGTTTTAAAGTCCTGCTGCAGAAAGGAGCACTTCCACCAAATTCAGTCAAAGCCAAACTTGTTGCAATGGAAACACAAAAACTATTTCATTCAGTATTCCAAAACTACCAAAAGGCACCTGTTCACCACTAGACCCATCTATGTGCCCAGCTCGGAGAACAAATATTGAACGGTTTTAAAGTTCTGCTCAAGAAAGGAGCACTACCACCAATTCAGCTGAAGTCAAACTTGTTGCCATGGAAACACAAACAATATTTTACACAGAATTCAGAATTCCAAAAATACCAAAAGGCACCAGACCAATCTGTCTGCCAAGTTGGTGAAGAAATGTTGAACTGTTTTAAAGTTCTGCTCCGGAAAAGACCACTACCACCAAATTCAGTCAAAGCCAAACTTGTTGCCATGGAAACGCAATAAGTATTTTATTCAGAAATGCAAAACAACCAAAAGACACCAGTACACCACCAGATCTATCTATGTGCCAAGTTTGGTGAAGAAATATCGAACAGTTTTAAAGTTCTGCTCCGGAAAATAGCAACACCAATTTCAGTCAAAGTCAAACTTGTTGCCATGAAAATGCAAAAAAAACCAAAACAATTATTCAGAATCCCAAAACTACTATAAGGCACCAGTTCCCCACCAGACCTATCTATGTTCCAAGTTTGGTGAAGAAATAGTGATTGGTTTTAAAGTTCTGCTCTGGAAAAGATGAATGTGCACGGAGGGACTGACAGACACACGGACGAAGTCCATTTTAATACCCCCTGCAAAACATGTAAGTTGCGGGGGATAATAATGAAGTCTGAACCAAGCAAACCAGTGACAGAAAGAATGAGCAATAACACACATTTGAACAAGTATTTTCCACATTGATACCTAACAGCAAAATATCCAATCGAGATATCATAAAATATCAATAAAAACATGTCATTGCTGGCCCTCCAATGGGCTTTAATGACAGCTTCACTAATATAAAAAAAGGTCAAATACACAGATAGAAAGAGCTTTTCATGTTATAGGATATTTTCTCAATGAATGTTAAAACAGATGGAATCATGTGCTACATTATCATTGGTGTGTGCACAATGGATGATGTGGCAGAGAAACTCAGCTAGGAACTATGTGTAGGTGTATGTTCTGCAACATGATTGGCTTTGTATGACCAAGGCATTTATATTGTAATCTAGCCTTTGACAACTACTGGCTTATCCCATCTAGCTGATTTTAGTTTGAGTAAAACATCCATAAGGCAAAGACACCAGACATCTCTTTGATTTGTCTCTCTTTGGAAACCTCTGATAAACCTCTTGTTCAAGTTGTTGATCTATCTGAATCGGGTAAACCCAATTTCAGAGATATATCAGTCTGCGAGAAAGATGTTCAGGCAAGAAATGAAGGAAACACATGCGAACTTTTACACTTACGCGACAATAATTCCGTCAGAGATTATTATTTTTAAGTTGCCATGCATAACTAAAGATTCTATTACCTCGAGTCCTGTTAAATGTGTAATGAGTGATTTCGTCAAATTTTCGAAATTCCCTCTCCAGCGCGCCATGACCACATCCAGTCGCCGACTAGCCGGTTGCCGATCTCAAAAGTAAATTGACAGCCATCAAATATGTACAACGTACTTCAAGTATATTCTTAAATCAAATCAAACCATGTGTAAAATTAGACTAATCCATGATAGCATTACTTTTAGCACACCGAGCCTAAGTATAAATTAGTAAAGTTTGTTGACAGCATGGGCACTTCCGGTTGAAAGTATGTTTTTGAAATTATGGATCGGACTTTACACCGGAAATTGCTATTTAGAAAAGACGTTGAAAATATTATATAAAAGGCAACTAAACATCGATTAATATGGTATGGTAGCTGGGTGCTGTTTTCTTTTATTCATTGTAGACAGATGCGATGAGGTGTCCTTGATCTCTGTTGATTGAGGATTCCACCACAAGTCGGCGGATTTGAATTGTTTCTGCAAGGTTTTGTTCGAGTAGGTCGTGGACTTCTATAGGAACTGGACATTGTCCCATAGTCTGCCTCATAGCCACTGTTCAAACCGCATTATATTACCCAACCCTTTCTGCAATTCTAAAGCCCTAGTGGAAGGTGGTGTTGATGATTTTGTCGACCAGCTTTAATTTAGTCGGTTGTGGTTGTGCGTTTCAAATAAACCGACAAAGAAATTAACTCAACGACAATTAAATAACCAAACACCCTTTCTTCCACAATTGGTTTCTCCTGTTAGCTATGAAAACCTTTCTTTCGAACCCATTTAACTAATTTACATATATGTAAACATTACTTTTTAAATTGGACAAACCAAACGCCGTCCATTTTATTTGTAATCTTTCACTTAGACTTGATATTTTGTATTATGGCCACTCCCAGCTGATTAACAGAGAAAGATCACTCTAATTCAGTTGAATAATCGTTCACATTTTGAGACAGTCGAAATTCGAACTGGATTTTCCGGTCCCGGGTTCGATTCCCCATATGGATGCAATGTGTGGAGCCCATTTCTGGTGTCCCCGGTCGTGACATTGCTGGAATATTGCTAAAAGCGGCGTAAAACCTTACTCACCACTCACTCACTCTCTATACTTGACAGATTTGCCGATGACTACAGAGATAAAACTCGTGTCACACCTGCGGGGGGTCGCCCGTTGAGCAATGTTTAAACATGCAAGATGAAGACATATATTCAGCTGACACGTATTTGTGGAGCACACCAGTATCGGTGCCCGTGTGATCCAATTCAGGATTCGCTCTGAGTATGATATTAGACCTTTTCAGCGCATAACGTTCGCTTTTCATCAAAGCAGGATACGTCAAAATCCTTGAATAGGGAACAGGTCAAAGGGGCCAGGGGACAAAACGGACAAAACTGGAAGCGTCAAACGGGCCAAAGAAAAGTCAAAAGGGCGTGTCGAACCCCCTGAACACCACACCCCAAATGGATCTGCCAATGCACCTACTATTTCTCACATTGCCAATCAAATACTTGGTGTTGTTTACATTTATTATCCTTTGACATAGTATGATATGAGAACATGCAGTTTACAGAATATAAAGACCATACGGCATGTTACATTGTTAGTAACTGTATCATATCATAATTTCGTGCGCCACCTAATGCTGAAAGGCGATAAGTGTGACTCGCGCACTTGTTTCGTTTATATTCCGGGAATACATTTATAGAAACCACATCCCAGTTGAATTGTGGGTAAACGGGAGCTCGTTTGTTTTGGTTTTGATTGAAATGGATAACAGTCCGAAATAAACAGGTATGTTTTAACCACAGAGTTTGAACGGTACACGTTAACGGTTGGTGGCTCATGAGTTTACTGTGGTGCTAAATTGTAGTAATTATGTACAGTAGGGGGGTTTGAATTCCACCCTGACGTGTCATTGCCAGTGGAGGAAGGCGCCAAACACTTCGGCTGGCTGGCACTATCGATGTCCAAGTGTCGCATAACTAAGAGAAAACATGACTCATCCCTTTCGTAGTCTGCTTTGTCTACGCGCCGATTCCTTACCTGTTGATTTTCCATTTAAATCCAACAAACCTCGATTTTGATCATAGCTACACGATTTTATGCGGTTTGTGACAGTGACTATTTTCACTTGATAGCTCTACACACAAAAATAATGAAGTACATCCCCGTATAAACTTTTACAGATAAGAGATTGTGATAGATCACACTTTAAAGACTAGTTAATGATATGGAAATACATGTCACAATAAATTCCGCTTGGAGATATTTTCAGCCATTTCATTTGTGAATTGAGATATTAACATTTAGGCCTACCCCAGTCAGGAGTGGCTTTCATCCTCCACTGCCACTTTCTGGGCTTAAAAAGAATGCCTTTCACTTACATTTCTAAACCATTTTTCAAGTTTTTATGAACCTATTTAATTCATTACAAAGAAATTGAAGGTGCAAGTTTGACAAACAACAAGATTTTACTTGCCTGCAAAGACAATTCTTATGAGCATGCAATACCCTAATTCTCGATGTACAGTGTCATAATTCTTTGGCACAATTAGATGTTAAAGTGACTAGATCTGGAATTAGCCACTGGACCTTGGGGCTCAGTTTCCCATTGTGCCCCGTTATTTGCCATAATTACCTTTTGCTTATTTTGGGGCAGACATCTGAAGTAGGCTGTGATTTTTGTTATCTATATTTTCTAATCATTCAACAGTAATCCAGAGTGTGTTTGAAGAAGTTTTCTGTCAGTGTCAGTGGACCACCTTGTGTGGAATTCACTTCAAGGTTATTTGCTATCAATAGGGGCATATGTTTTTATATATATATTTCTTCAAATTGTCTTTTTTCACTTTGCAGATCTCTCTGTGTCAACAAGGAGGTCGTGTTGCAAGAGAGGAGAGATGAAAAACAGTTGTTACTGTTGTTGTCAAACATCTAGCAACATGATGGACATTGACTCTGCCCTCAATGAACTGGGCATGCTGAGTTCGGTCACAGAGAGCCGCCGACAATTTCTTCGGGAACGAAGTCGAACCAAAAGTGAGGGATCTGTGCATGTATCACGAAGTAGTCCAAGTATTGCAAACGGGTTTCAGATTCTTCAAATTGACACCAACTATGTAACAGGTTTTTCTGCAGTTTCCCCTGTGGCATCCTCACCTGCAAGCGGTTCCTTGATACAGCGGCAAGAAAACCAAGAGCGTCTTAGGTTTAACTCAGGGTATCGTGATGTCGAGGACAGTTTAGAAGTTGAGGCCAGGAAAAATCGATTATCTCGAATTAAACTTGCACGACAAAGACGTTTCCGGAAACCATACAACGTTCCTGGTCGTCTGTATCATTCCATGCAGGAAAGTGACTTTAGTTTAGAGGAAGGAAGTGAAAGTCGACATTCAAAATCAAACGCTACGTCTCCCACAAAACCAAATGCTGGTACATGTTTAACAAGGTCCAGGTCTTTAGATAACCTTGAAAGTGCTAGATTAAAGCTTGTTGAACTGTTTGAAAGCGAGCCAAGTCCAGAAGAGAAACAAGCTTTAGAACAAGTTTCAAGGGAGATGGAGAATTTGCAAGTAAACGAATGATACCAAGTGACATTTCTGTATAGATAGTATACTGGTTGGTTGTGTAGATATAGAATATCTATTTGCCAGTCTCCTGTAAAAGTGATACTTATTGTATAGTGATCTTTGAATGTTCAAATTCCAATCAAGATTCAACATTATGGCTGAGCCATCTTACTCAACCATGTCTGCATAATAGAATTTGTCTATTGTCTTCAATTAGCTTCATACACAATGATAATATCAAAGTCAGTGACTCTCCCTGAAGAGTTCATAAAGCCAAGTCTTTCTGGTTAGTTGGCAGTTTTGTTGAAGACACGGTCAGATTTGGATTGAACTGATAATATGCATGTTCTACAAGTACAAGTGTGATTTCAGAAATTCCCTTATGGCATTGACCTCATTTGCATGAAGTAGAAATTCATTTACTGGACCATATTAATTGAGAGTTGGTTTAGAATATCCCTCCTCAGTCTACATGTTGCACCGTGGGTATGGTTTACTTCCTAAGGACAACGCTCATGTTTGATGCTGCATACAAATAGAATATATGATTGTGGTTTTCCCTGCCATCATATCTTACTCCTCTACTCTCACTGACTCACCCAACAATTCTTTTGTCTGCGATGACCATGGTAACTAAATGATGCTACAGTCGAATGAACAGCAATAACATGCTTCCTTTAGTAGGAAGGCTTCAGGGTTATTTCTGGATATGTCATGTTCTTCTCACTCACTCACTATACAATGCTCAAGGTTTACTGTTGTATTTGACCATCTTCTATGGAGATTTGGAGATCCCTTGAATATTCTGAAGCTGCCCCTGCCAAGGATTCATTCTGTCATGCATGGAGGACAGCATTTGACAGAGTTCTGATGCAATTGTCAGTACATATTCAATAACAGAATTAAAAGAATTAGCCATGTGGTGTTATAGTAGTAACTGATGTCAGGTCTACCAGGGGTGACTTGCATTAATCACCAGTTAATCATTAATCACAAGACCAATAAACAAGAAAAGGCTTAAAGAGTAGTTTTACATTAAAACAAATATTAAATACCCATGAATTTATGAAAATAAGGACTTTTTAAGAAAGTCATAATTTTGAATGTTTCTTTTTCACCATGTTGATTCCCAGATGCACGCCTAACCTTCCCCGAGTCTCTCCATCCCACCTTCTCTCTGGCACAGCAGCTACTTTTTTTCCCCTTGACATGCATTCTATCTATATGATTAAAGCAGTATTTCCTTTAAGATTCTCTATCATGCACAGGAAACTTCAGCATTCTGACTCCTAATTCAAAATAATAGTTGCTCATGCCCCTAACAGCCTCTTTATCAGTGATTATTCTAGAAAACTATGGTGTGAGAACTGTTCTATGTTATTACCAAACTAAACAAAACATGTTTGGGACATTAAGGGAGAGAGTTGGTAAATAAATTAGGAGTATCTGGAAGAACAGTTTGCCAGGAATAAAATATAGGTGATCAGAGACATAAGAGACTCCTACTTAGATTGTTGTGTGGTCCAAGGTGCCAGACCTTCCCGTCCTGGCTTCCAGTCATCTGTTGTGCCAAATCACCAGGTTGTGGGTTTCATGTATCAGTTTTAACAGGATTATGATCCTTAGACTATCGGCACCACATCCAGGCATGTGAATCTTGCTTTTTGCTTCTTGGCAGTCGGACCACATGAGCTGTCACTCAGTGGCTGAAGTACTCTTGAAAACAGGCTTAAACTCAGCTGAGTTGACTCTTGCTGTAACCTTTGTCACAGATTTGAAGTCACTGACAGTTCTTGACTTGCACATTTTCACATTCAGTATGCTGTGTTGGGATCCATTTTCCACCCAAAATTATTTGGTTTCATGAATGATTGACATTTGATTAAGTGATGCATTTTGAATTTTCATTGTAGTAAGTACATTTGTATTGGGCTTAATTCCATTCACAAGTTTCGTCACGATATGGCTGAGATATTGCCGATGTGACGTTAAAAATTATCTCACTCACTCCCATTCACAAGTGGATGCTCATAGCACTAGAGATGTTAAGTGGAGATGTCAAGATGATGAAGACAATTCATGTTTGGCCATAGTATTACTGGAAAAGATGTTAATGCTATTGTCCTTTCTTAAAAAAGGGAACAGTGGATGACAGTCACAATTCTGTTGGCAGTTTGTTCCAGAGTGTTTTGGACAAAACTAGAGGTCTCTGATCAGAATTGTAAGCAAAGGTTTGCTGTCAGAACGGAGAGATCCTGAAGGTGTACATTGTATATTGCTCCAAGATCTCACAGAAATATCTCAAAAGATTTAACAAGACTGTTACCTGTGCATCGACCTTTTAAAGACCTTTCACAAGTCAGATGCTTAGCAGGAATTTGAGGGATCCTGGTCGTCATTAAGGTTACATTAAATTCAAACACTGATAGTGTTAATTTGAATATTGTGACTCAAGCCAACTTTGAACATAATGATGATGCTTCTTGTATGATGTGATGTACAACACTGTTCTATGGATACTGATGTGATGATGATAAATCACACAGACTTATGGAAGGGCCATCTTTTTCACATCAATTTACACCTTTATAAGAACAATATCCATCTTTTATAAATTAACATTATTAATGTGAGTTTGTGACGTGAATGACAATGAAATCTTCATTCATGTGTTTGTTTTCTATCATGTCTGTGCTTGATCAATGCCAACATATTGGGTTTATCTGTAATGTTACAATAATACTTCAATTTTCAATGTTAACATTTTACATTTGTTATTTTTATCTTTCCTGCTTTGTGATATAGGACATCCAGCCAGATTAATGTTGTCAGGATGTTGTAGAATGTCACCATGGTTACTATTCTGCCCATCCCATCAAACCAACTGTGTGGAAGTTCGTAGAATAGGTTCAGTGTCTGTAGTTGTCTTTCATGTTGGTACATTAGTCAAAGTGAACATGTGGATCCTTTGGGTGTGCAAGAATCCTGATCATGGTTTTTAATATCGGAATTCCCCCGGTCAACATCGTGTATAAACAGCCTGGACTTTCCTCTCACATAGGCATGAACTATCAATCATGCTATGCCATAACTGAAATATTGTTCAATTAGGAGATAATCCTATTGTGTTTACATTTTGGAAGTGATTATAGTTGGTTGAATGCTGCTAAATGTCATTTAAAACCTAACACGTTTTTCACTTCTAATTTGTTAGTAACAGCTTATCAAAAAGAACATACTTAAATGTCATGGTAGAATGTGGCATTAAACCTCAAACTCAAATGTAAAACCCACAAACATGACAGTGGAAAAGTTCAGGATTTAGATGAGAAATTCAGCCCATAAAATTAAAAAAGTCTCAAGATTCTATTTCCTGGTTGAAGTATGAAAGTGATATCCCAAATCAGTGTTTTACAAATAATTTATGTCTTGGTTGCTTCTGGATCGACAGGGTTGGTGGGGTAGCCCAGTGGTTAAAGCGTTCACTCATCATGCCGAAGACCTGGGTTCAATTCCCCACATGGGTACATTGTGTGAAGCCCATTTCTGGTGTCTTCTGCCGTGATATTGCTGGAATATTACTAAAAGCGGCGTAAAACCCAACTCACTCACTCTGGATAACATGGACTGAATAGTCACACAGACTGCATGTCATTTCTGGCAAGATGGTCAGCATTGACCATGTCTCCCACCAGGTTTACATACTGATGTTTCCCTCTACTAATTTGTTCAACAAATAAACGGGAAGATGTTAATAAAGTTGCATTCTGTCATAGTGACATATTCTTGGTTGTATCAAGATTTGTGGAACATATTTGGAAGAAAATCTATGTATGATATTCTAATATGTTTACAAGTTTTTACTATGTAGTTATTCACGAAATATTACAGACATAAATTGTACATACAGCAGATTTGTGCGGAGGCCATTCCAGATTTATGATTTTTGAATTTTGTTTCTTGACAATGTAGAGGACACTTTTGGATTTTTTACACATTTTTTGGCCATGATATTTCCCTAATCATTAGAAAAAAATGTTAAAGTGGTGCGTGAACAAATACTCAAGTTTTCACGGGCTTACTTTCCTTTTTTCATAAGTGCATTGTTTTTGTTTGTTTGAGACAGTCATTCTCACTAAATTCTTATGTCTATGCTGTCTTTTTCTTAGAAAGGACAGTTACAAAGATAATCACCAACTGCGTCTGCCAGACAGGAAGTAAGGATTTGTCACAGTGTTATCTGTGATAGTTCTGGAAGTCTAATGATACAGTGTCATATGACTTGATGATGCTCGGTCCTGATGCTAAATCATGTGTCATGCCATTGTCATCGTCATCCTGTTTCCATGGCAACCTGATATGGTCTCAAGCAATGGGAAGTGTCTACTTTCCTCAGAGAAGTTAATTAATGGGTAGTTTATATTTATATATATTCCACTTTTAACCTTTGCTAATACACGGTTTTGTGTCAGTGGTCAAACACATTAGCATTTGCTGTCAGTGTTATTGAGGAGGATCCCTGAGGGCATTATATGAGAAGTGGTCAGCAAGAACTTATACTGGTTGTTAGAGGCGACATGGTTTGGCAACCCAACCTTGGGCACCTCAGTGTCCTGAGACATTTTCTCTCAATATTTATCACTGGTTTGTCTGATTCAGACTTCATTATTTACAGGCTGCGGCATGTAGCTAGAATATTGCAGAGTGCATCCTTGTCAAATTACATTGATAATAAGCTCTTTGTCATACTGATAGCTGCTATACACCTGGTTAAGAGTTAAAGACAGCTTATTGTAAGTTTTTCCTTATAAATAATGTAAATTTCAATATAAAATAGCCATTTTATGAAATCTTATAATATGTGTACAAGTTTGTGTACAAGTGATTTAAAATTTAAAAATTAACATTACTCCAACAATATTTGAACCATATTTGTGCAGAATGTGAAACTGATTAACTGATGTCCAATGTTTTAGAACTTTTCAACGGAACAGTTACTTCCTTACTCTTTCAATTAAGTCCTCATCTTCTTCTTATCATCAATGAAACATCTGTTTTTCTGGTACCAATTTACCGGGAGGTATCGACTGAGATCAATTTCACCTGATTCTTCTTAAAGGTACCTGGAATTTTGGGAAATGTGTAAATAAAGAAAAGGTGATGCTATGCTTTTTTTCCGGGTGTATAAATGGAGAACTACATTCAGTGCCAGATATTGACTGGAACAGCTTCTCGAGCTGCTAGTGTTTGTGTGTGTGGTCTCCCTGTTTTTCTTATCCCTGCTGTCTGTGGTTGAATAATGTTGATCTTGATAATCCAACTACCTGATTTTGAGAACATGCTTTACCATTTGACAATGGGCTTTTTGTTACTTTCTGTTTCCATGGTTACTGTGGTTCTAGTATTTATTATTTCCTGTGTGTTGATTGATGTGTACATGGACACTCTACAAAATGAAATGTATTTTCATAATAAATTAATTTATTATTTTGTGGCTTTGTTCTGTCGTTCTTTGGGGTGGTTCTACTTCGATCTGACAAGACACCTGGTTTACCATGATGGTAGATCATGAAGCTTTGTCTCGTTAGTACTTCATGAGTTTGTGTACACTTTATTATAACACACCCATTGGAGATAACTGGTATGACACATGTGTGAGATAGACTTCCAGGTCCATGATTGGCAAATCCATAGTGATGAAATAGGTCAGACTTAGACTGACTAGTCTCTGAAATGAACATATTTTACAGAAAAAACCCCAGTTCATAATAATATAAAAAAACATAATGAAAATACATTCTTCATTTTCAAGACTTTCCACATATTCTAGACTTGCATGGACTTTATTGGATATAATGGTTTCAGGCTCTGTATGGCAGATTTGGGCAGACTATGACAGACTACTTTTCTGATAATAATTCATTCATAAGTTACTCGTGCTTCAATCAAATGCAGACCTGTAACTTGTGGCCCTGGATATCTACTTGTTATTTTCGCAATTGCATCATAATCGTTTTAAACATAAGTAAAACTAAATAGTAATTTGTTTAAATGTTTCTTTTCCTTTCCTTCTGTCATCAGCTACAGAAGTTGCTGCAGGGAGGCCAAGCCACAATAAGATAGGTAATTGTGGTATCTGACGGACACAATAAGATAGGTAATTGGTATCTGACGGACACAATAAGATAGGTAATTGGTATCTGACGGACACAATAAGATAGGTAAATGGTATCTGACGGACACAATAAGATCGGTAATTGGTATCTGACACACAATAAGATAGAGTAAAGATAGGTAATGGTATCTGGTAATTGGTATCTGACGGACACAATAAGACAGGTAATAAGATAGGTTCATCAGTCATGAATACACAGCCGTATCTGTTAAAATAGTTCTTGATTTAGGTTTGTTAGATGATGAAATCCAACTCTACAATTCATTTGTGTCAAATTATTTGCCCTGAGAAATCTTTTGTGTCTTTTTGCCCTGAGAAAGTCAAGTCTTTTTATCATTTGACTTTTGGTAAGTCATACAATCCCATTCTTTCATTGGATGTGTCAGACTTCTTATGAGTTGTCAAAGTTGCAGTAGTTGTGTTCAACTGTATACATGCAATATTTCTGATCAAGTGCAAATACAATGAACACCAAATGATCGATCCTTAAAACTTCATAATTGAGGGGTTAAAGGGTAGGGTGGTTGAGTGGGTGTCACTTACTTTGTACATAAATTTGGGGGAAGAGGCAGCATTCACATTGTACATGCTCTTCCATAAAACTCATCACCCCCCTGGCCATAAATTATGAACAGTTCCTAATCAGTACTTTGAACCTTATAGATATTTGTACCAGTCACCTACATTGTATGCCAACTACTGAAACAACAACATATATATATACTGGTACTTGGTCTCTCATGATTTCTAAGTACATGGGATCAGTAACAAACAATAGATGGGACCACTTACTTAAACCAGAAGATTAAAAGACAAAAATGGTTGCAACAAATTTTATTTCACAATAAACAAATTAGCAACTGTCTAGCTGAAAGCTTCCAATACAGCATTAGCACTAAAGCCTTGAACAGCACATTATACAGTACAGGAACTGGATGACTACATGGACATAGTTTTGTAATAATATTAAGATAGCAGTGGGTATACAATCAGATCTGGACCGAACAATCCAGTGAATGACAGCAAAAGGATTGATTTAGTCAACTGGGATATGGTGACATGTATCAACCAAGTCACCAAGGCAGACCACCCAATCCAGTTAGTGGCCTATTAAGAAAACCATGAATTGCAGAAGATCAATTCTAACACAGATCTTCAGGGTTTACATGGACATCAGTGGATGGGGAAATAGTATTTCAATGTACAGACAACCCAACTCGTCTCCATGAAGCTCAGGTCCTATGTTTGGTCTGTAGAAATGTCTAGCTGAAAGGTACACGCTTGGTTTAACTTGTCACACTGCTTAATACAGTTACATGGAATATTGTAATAATTAAATGCAATAATACACTAAAAGATGGTGAAATTTGACAACTGATATCTCAAAATTGAGCGAGTAATCTCTTATAGATTGCATAATTGGACACAAAAGAATTGAGCTTTACATATTACACCTCGGAAATGAAACGTGTCTTCAGCGTCGCAAGCTAACAGTTTAACCACAAGGCTATCTGACACTAAACATATAAATGAGCCATTGTGTGTTATGTTGGAAATACAAACTGATTGATCCAAGTTATTGGACAAAGTGGACCTTGAAAGACTTAAACCAAACAAGTCCTTGAACTTGCTTTATAACCGTGTTAGAACCTACACCGAAATGTCGGTCTCACTGTAATACAGAAGTTGTTTATCCATATATTGTCATCCTTCCTTATTGATCCAGCTTCTAAATGCCTCTCACAGAAGAAGTCCTAAGGTCTCTTGTAATAAGTGAAGTGCTGGTTCTCCATACCCCTGTACAGTGATCTAGGTTAGTCAGTGATATGTAACAATAAACAAGTACAATGTATACACACTACACACTACTTAACAGACTTTGTCTTTAGCTACACATCGTTACAGGTGATATCCAGGTGCGCAGTAAGGGGCATTGAGGATAGGGATGAAGGCAGAAGATCAAGACAATTTAAAGTCTGATAACTGAGGGAGTTTAATTTTTATACCACTTTTGGCAATATTCCAGCAATATCATGACGGGGGACACCAGAAATGGACTTCACACCAAACTCTGATAAGCTTTTCATTTGCATTTGATGCTGGGGTTTACATTTCTTTTTCAGGGAATTAATACAAGTGAAGTCAATAAATTACAGCTCTACTTTGAAAACTAAAAGCATCTCGTAAGCATGAATTTAGTTGACTGAAAAAGCAGGCTTGACATACCACCACCAACACTTCCACAAATAGTTGCCTTGATGGTTTGCCTGACAAAAAGTCTGTAGGTATGTATTGATGTTGTTTATAGGGTCGGTGATTGTCTCAAACCTTAGAGACTCAACTTCTTATCCTACATGACTGTTATACTTTACATACTTCTTAAGTGCAATGTCATTCTAAGAAACGTTCATAATCTATGGCTAGGGGTGGGGTGCAATGATGCTTTTTATGGAGAATAATGGAGAATAATGTACAATGTGAATGAACCCCCCCCTCCCTAAAATTTATGTACAGGGTAAGTGACCCATGATTTCAAGTACAAAATCAATGACCCCCCCCCCAATTTTTAAACACGATTTTATATTTTTTTTATATACAAAATTGCTGCCCTCCCCACCAAGTAACGTGTACAAAATTGCTGACCCTCCCACCTCCCAAAACAAAAAATTGGTGACCCCCCCTCAAAATCATCGTCACCTCCCCTAGCCATGAATCATAAACGGTCCCTAATGTGCATTTCTAGGCTGAAACTTTAGCAAGTCAAATCAACATATTACATGTTGCATATAATCAGTCTTGAAATATATGAAAAATACATTTCATTGATTGTCAAGAGAATGTATTTAGATAGAAGACATAACAAATCGAATGTCATGGCGTAGAAACCTAAGTCTCTAAGTTCTAAATGAGTCTAGGAGTTTCTAAGATTACATTTTTTCTAAGATATCAAAAAGTGGTTGCTAAGTATACCAGTCTAATTTAAATCAATAAGAACACACCTGAAAGACAATATGTTTTCATTAGCATGATTGCTATTTTGGCACATAATTTGCAAAAACTCAGCATTTATAATAATATAGTCAGCTGTTTGGTATAGGCAATATTGATGCATAGTCCACAAATGCACATGTATTATATACTCAGTGTCCTACACACAAACAGAAACTAAATCTCACATCATGTACATAGTTACATAATTGTCTGGTTATTGGTTAGTTCTTGGTTATAAGTGCCCATCACCATTGTTATGACAGGGTCTCCAGAATCAGAGTTTAACACAGTGTGTATGGAAGTCCCGACAACAATCTCAGGGTCCAGTTCCGCAAAGTGTTTGTTGCACTACGTCATTCGTAAGCCAGGTATATAGTACAGAGTTACGATAGGTTGTAATGTTGCAAATGTTTTGTGGATTGGGATTTTGACCTTTTGGAATTATTGGTCCATTAATTTTGGGAAATTCCTGCGAGACAGAAGTAAAAAAAGAAATCAGATATATTTCCGCTCCTTCTAAGTCTGAATATTGTTTCATGTGAGCAGTTTCAGTAACGTGTCTCTTTGGTTTTGGTGTGTGTGCACTCTTTGTGGTGAACACCTTAGTTTGCACTCAGATACAAACAAAAAACGGACTCTTTCAGACATATATCTCTCCAGCATCCCAGCTTCCATTACATTGGTGCTAGCAGAAACCATATAGAAACATTGTCTTGTGTGAAGGTCATACAGAGATGCCAACTTCTATGATTCTATCGTAGTCGCTACAAATTTTGGACTTACACTACACCAATACGATTTCACTAGAAATTCTAAGAAATTTTAAGAAAATTAATTAAAATTCAGATATAAAGACAAAAACATATATTTTCGTCGATATAGAACATTTTCGCCAAAAAGAGACTACAAAAAGAAATGTAATGCTGATAATTTGGAAATCTGCTGTTGGAGGTATGTGAAATTTAAGATTCACTCATGATTAGTGTCATATTATCTTTCTCAGAATCCATCATGATTTGAAGTATTTAGTTGACTACTAATGTTGATCCTTGAAACTACTATTGCAACACTTTGTGGTTGGCATCTCTGGTCATATGATATACAAGTGAACAAATTTCATTTCAACAAACATGGCTTCAAATCAGTGTGGAAAGGTGATCAACAAATACTGAAAAATGTCACCAGTCTGCACAAATACATATACACTGTGTGTCAAAATCGCATCACAAATAATTATTTACATGATTTAAGTTGAATGCCAGTCTTGCTATTTGAAGACAAATGCAAAAGCTATGTAGACCAGTAATCAACATTACAAAACCACTT